CGTCAATCACGAAATCCCTTTGATCGACCCCAACGAGAAGGTCAAGCCGAGGGTCTATCCCCTTGCCGACAAATATCGTAGCCAGTGGGCGGAGCATTCAGCTAAGTACACTCGCGGTCGCTTCTGGGTTTCTGGTCCGATCGACTCTGCGGCTCCGGTCTTCGCCATTCCGAAAAAGAACTCCCAGACCGCTCGCTTTGTGATCGACCTCCGCGCTCGCAACAGCAACACCGCCAAGCGTTTTTCACCTATCCCCGACATGACCAGTGTTCGCTACGAAGTGGCACGTTCGCGCTACCGGTCCAAATTCGACGTGGCCGCAGCGTTTGAGCAGGTGCGGGTCATACCCGAGCACGTCGATTGCACCGGCTTCGCCACGGTCACGGGCACGTACACGTCGCGGGTGATGCAGTTTGGGGACACCAATGCGCCCAACACCCTGAACTTGTTGACATCGGCGATGTTTCAGCCGTGCCTCTCGTTTGCCAAGATCTTTTTCGACGATGTTCACGTCCATTCCGATACTCGTCGCGCGCACTTAAGACACATCGAGATTTTGCTGATGACACTGCGACATTATCGGTTCTACTTAGGATCCAACAAATCCGAGTGGTTCTCAAAGTCGTTAGATTCCTTGGGCGCGATCATCTCCGACGACGGCATCGAGGTCGACCCGGCCAAGTGGGAGCGTATCCGACAGTGGCCGACTCCACACAACAAGACCGACGTTCAGCGTTTCCTCGGCACCGTGAATTGGATGCGAGATCACCTGCCCCACCTCTCGATCACCTTGGAGCCCATCACCGCATTATTAGCGCAATCGACGTCGTGGCGTTGGAACGAGCGCGAGCAGCAGGCCTTCGACACCGTCAAGTCCCTCGTGCCAGCAACACTGCGACCGATCGACGGCGCTAAGGTCACCTCCGGCGAGCACAAAATCTACTTGTTCACCGATGCCAGTCGTGTTGGCATTGGCGCTTGCCTGGCCTCGGGCCCCACTCGTTCGCAGGCCATTCCTACGCGATTCTTCTCCGCTAAGTTCAATGGCGCTCAGCTCAATTATCACGTCACTGATAAGGAGTTCTTAGCCGTCGTTTCGGCGTGTCGGGCGTTCGAGCAGCACTTGATCGGTTACCCCTTCGTCATCGTCACCGACCACCAAGCCCTTCGCACGATTAAAACGCAGAAGTTACGCCAAACACCCCGGCACATCCGCATGTGTCTCGAACTCAGCCGTTTCGACTTCGAATTCGAATTCATTGCGGGCAAGAACAACTCCCTTGCCGATTCGTTGTCACGCTTGTGGGAAGTCAAGGAGGGATCGCCCGAGGATCAGGTCAAGGAGAATGAGTTGGAGGATATGTTCTTTGATGGAGAACGCCACGGATTCACTACACACGGTGAGAGCCTCCCTGAGGAACGTCCTTACACCTCACCATCTCCCGATCGGTTGCCTCCTGTTGATTTTGCCTTCGGGCCCCAACGCGACGATTGCGAGGCAGGCTCTCCCGGATACTACGCGCTCAAGGACGAATCGCAAGACGAGGACGTGAATGGACGGGATTTAGGGAATTTGTTCTTGAAGGAAGAATGCCACGAGTTCACTACACCTGGTGAGAGCCTCCCTGAGGAACGTCCTTACACCTCACCTTCGCACGATCGGTTGCCCCCTGTTGATTGTGCCTTCGGGCCCTGGGATCACGGCTACGACGCAGGCTCTCCCGGTTCCCATCGTCTGGCCGAGAACATTATGGACGCCGTCGACTCTTCTACCGGTCCCCTTTCTCCTCCCATCGCCGTCAATCGAGTTCATGCTATCGCCGCGGCCCCCGCCAACGACGCGCCCATTCCAGTCGATGCCGACGCCGATGAACTCGACTTACTGGGAGCCGCCGCCGATGAGGTCAACGACGCCCCTGTAGTCCATCGACCGCCCGACCCGCTGCCGCAACCTTTCCTCGACGCCGTCATCCGAGCCTACGCCCACGATTCGCAAGCCCAAGTCATTGTTGACGACCCGCTGTCATGGCCGATGTTTCGGGTGACCGAGGAAGGGAGGATCTTGCGTGTACATCCAGATGAGTCTCTTTCCCTGTTTGTGCCTCGCGGTCTCGCTACCGGCGTTGTCGACTCCGACAAGCTCCCATCGCTGCGCGAGCTCGTGCTTTCGGAGATCCATCGGAGCGTCGGGCACGCGGGACATCGCATCACCTTGGCCGCCATACGTCCTTTGTATTGGTGGTCGTCCATGTCTGCCGATTGCGCCAAGTTCTGCCATTCATGCGAAGATTGTGCCCGAGGCAAAGCGTCCACTCAAGTCCCTTATGGCCGACTGCATCCGATGCCGATCCCTTCTGGCCCATGGGAACAAGTGGCCATCGACTTCATGACGGGACTGCCTCCGGTCGAGTTCGAAGGGATGATGGTCGCTCAAATCATGGTGGTCACTGACACTTGGGGCAAGATGGTCCACCTGATTCCCCTCCCAGCCGACGCCGACTCCGAGCTCGTTGCCGACAGGTACTACGCCACCATCTTTCGACTGCATGGGACGCCTTCCGCCATCGTTTCCGATCGCGATCCCAAGTTCACCTCGCAGTTTTGGCGAGCATTGCAGGCGAAGGTCGGCACCGTCTTGCGGATGTCAACAGCGGCGCACCCAGAGACCGACGGATCGAGTGAGAACCGAATCAAGATGGTCACCCAAACTCTGCGCATCATGGTGTCGTCAAACCACGAGGCTTGGGCATCTCGTCTTGTTGAAGCTGAGTTCGCTCTTAACTCTTCCGTTGCTGTTTCCACGTCTCTGTCGGCTTTCGAGGCGACTTACGGTTACCTTCCTCGACGCTGGCCCACCGATTCCTGGTCTGTCTCGGACGTCCCGCGTGCGGAAGCGTTTGCCCGAATCCGACAGTTACGGAATCTCGACGTCACGGATGCGATCATTGGTGCACGCCTCGATCAGACTCACCAGGCCAACAAGCATCGACGCCCGGATGATCCCGCCTTTCGGACCGGCAGTTATGTCTATCTTTCGACCAAGAACCTGGCAGTTCCTGAAGGGATGAAGTCGAAGTTGTTGCCGCGCTACATTGGTCCTTTCCGTATCCGAGCGGCCATTCCAGCGACGTCCAGTTACGACCTCGAGCTTCCCCCAGCAATGTCGCGAGTGCACAGTCGCTTCCATGCTCGACTGCTTCGCCCCTATGTTGAGAACGATGCTGAGAGGTTCCCTGGGCGTGACCCCGCAGTTCTTTTTGTTGAAGATGTAGCCGACGCGGCCGACAACTCCGCCATTCCGGAACGGATTGTTCGCGATCGTCGGAACGCTCGGGGCAATCGTTCGTTCTTGGTTCGATGGATTGGCCGTAAGGACATCGATGACACTTGGATGTCAGAGCAGTCCCTCCGCTTCGACCATCCATCCCTACTCGACGCCTACCTGGCACAACTCGATCGCTCAAATCGCCGCCTGTCCTCCCGGTAGACTTCCTTCTGGGGGGGACAATGTCAGGCAAACAGCGATACACTGACAGCAACACTCGAAGGAAGTCCCTGAGGTAATGTGCAGGTAGAGTTGAGGTCACCAAATGCTTCCCTCCATTCAAGCATTGTGGGCGTGATGGCGTAGTCGTTCGGCGCGCGGGCGCGCACTTAATGGTCGCGGGTTCAAGGCGCGCAGAGCGCAATCTTCTCTCGGTTTTTGTTCTTTTTGTTAGCTGAGGCGCGGCCTCAGGGTTTTTACCGGTGCTCCCGCGAGCAATCCTTTTTCCCCCTGAGGCGACCTCTTGGAGTAGCTGAATTGGCTAAGTCCCCTCTGCGCCTGAGTGCCTCCCTTTTGTTTTTAGCACCTTCCCACTGAGCCTGGTCCGCCACATCTCCCAAGATCCCTTCACCTTCATCCTTCGTTTTCGATCTCGTTGGCAATAAAGTCCGATATACTTGACTTGCTGCGAGCCTCACAACCGCGTCCCCTCCTCGGTTGTCCCTCGGTCGCCTGCCCCCGCCCAGTCGACCTTCCTTCGGCCTGATCCCCTCCTCCGCGTGTAGTCAACGTCTTCTGAAGAGGACGTTGCCTGCCAGCTCGTCCGTGAACGTGAGTCGGAAGCTGTCGAGGCAAGACGGGACCATGGCGAGCACGTGGGTGGCGAGCACGTCGTTGAGCGATGTTTTGGCGTCGCGTATTTCCTGAGCAATCGACATGTACTCGCGTAGCCAAGTGTCGTAGGCCTCGACGGAGGCAGGCATCTTCCTGAAGTCCCAAAGGCGAGCGAACAACTCGAGAGTGCGTGTAGCGTCGTCCGGTGCAAAACGAGCCTTGAGAGCGGCAAAGATGCGCGGTGCCGACAGGCCGTCGCTGGGGATGGCGTCGAGGGTGGCCGATACGTCGGCGGAGTCGATAGAGCCAACGATGATCTCCCGGGCGGCGTCGTCACGTGCGGCAAGCTGGTCGGCGGTCCAGGTCGGGGGAACGACACCGTCGAGAACGTAACCACGAACCTGGTTCGGGAGTGCAAGACGGAGTTGACGCAACCAGTTGGTGAACGACTTGGGGCCGTCCAGACGAGCGTGCTTGGGAAACACGACCTTGGATGCGGTGGCGGCGTTCCCCGGCACGACGGTGACGGCCGGGGGTGCGGCGGCTGCGGCGGCGGCGGGTTGCGAGGCCTGCAGAGCGGCAAGCTGGGCCTGTAGAGTGGCGATTTGTTCGCCGATCGAAGATTCAGGGGAGCTGGGATCCCTGGGGGCCAAAGGCGAGGCGGGAGAGCTGTCCATGATGTGATGGTGCGATGGACGTGTGCGGCTCGAGTGGCTGGGCTCGAGCGAAAAAGCCTCAAGCGGCGGGGCTGGTAGCTCGTGGGCTTATAACCTATTCGATCAACTCTACTACGTCAGCGATGTAGTTATAGCCAAGAGTGATCAATGCATTTCAACATACCTATTCGATCAACTCTACTACGTCAGCGATGTAGTTATAGCCAAGAGTGATGAATAGGAAGCTAACAATAAGAGACCCGCGCGCCCCAAGTCCACAGCCAGCGAGCCTGGGGCTGAGCCAATGGCCCAGGCTCGCTCCGCGCGCCTAAGTCCTGGGCCGGGGCGCCCGGCTCACTCCGCGCGCCTAAGTCCGCGCCCGGTTCGCTCCGCGCGCCTAAGTCCTGAGCCGAGCGGAGAGTGGATTCCTCACAGACCCGACTGTGAGCGTGACAGTCCGGCCCAGCGTGAACGTCGTCTACCATTGAACCGTGAGCTCCACCTTCCAAATGACACCCTTGTACTCGACTCGGGCGCCTCCCACCACATGGTCAAGGACGCGTCTCTCTTCGACGCCTGGCACACACGGTCACACGTCACCGTCGATGGCGCTGGTGGGTCACTCATGGCACAAGGCACCGGCTCGATCACGATACGAACGTCGAAACAACGAACGATCAAGCTCTGCAACGTCTACTACGTCCCCGACCTTCCGGCCAACCTGATCTCGGTCATGCAGCTGCGCCGCGAGCGCGTTTACACCCACTTTGGCAAGACCATCGAGCTCCGGTCACAAGGTCAACTCATAGGTGTGGCATCCCTCATTGCGAATCAACTGTCGACACTGGACGCCACCCCAATCCGCAGCACGGTGTCACCGGTCGCAGCAGCCGCCATCCCTCTCCTGACTCTGCACCAACGATTCGGCCACCTATCCCTCCCCAACCTGCGAAGGGCAGTATCGTCGGGTCAACTCCAAGGTCAAACATGGACGTACTCGGCGGCCGAATGCAAGGCCTTCTCCTGCGACACCTGCAAAGCCGCCAAAGCAACAAGGACACCTTTCCCAACGTCGGACTCTCGCGCTTCGCAACCACTCGAACTGGTCCACTCCGACGTCCTCACTCTGCCCGAACCCGCCACCGATGGGGAACGATACGTTGTCACCTTCATTGACGATTTCTCCCGGAAGACGTGGGTCAGCGCGCTGAGGAACAAGAGTCAGGTCTTCGACACCTTCCAGCGTTGGCACGCCATGATCGAGCGCTCGACGGGCCTCAAGCTCCGCACGTTACGAACGGACAACGGCGGTGAATATACGTCCAAAGCCTTCATCGAGTACTGCTCTCTTCACGGCATTACCAGGCAACTCACAATCCCTTACACCCCGGAGCAAAACGGCCGAGCCGAACGGACGAACCGCACAATCGTCGAGGGGACGATTGCCCTGCTCCAGCACTCGGGACTGTTGAATTTCATTCTACTACAAGCGTTCGAACACTTCAACCTTGGGCCGCCGTTGGCAGGTCCGCCCATTTTCGCCTCGGCGCCTTTGCCTTCGCAGCCAAGCCGCCGCCCCATTTTCACCTCGGCGCCTTCGCCTTCGCAGCCAAGCCGTCGCCCTCCTGCCTCCCGCCGGCCTGCTCAACTCACGCCCGCGTGCCGCCGCCTCCACGCCGGGACTCTGGCCGTCTGCCCTCCAGTCTTGCTGAGCCAATGCCTCCACTTAGTCACCAGCAGCTTGCCGCCGCCGTCCTCATGTTCCATCGGCCATCAAGAGTATCGCCCATGCATGACGCCCGCCGTTCGCAACCTGAGTCTCGTCGCTATGGACTCCCTCACTCACCAACACTCGACATCGTAGATAGGTTTCCCCTCGTGGCCGTTGTCCAACACGACCCCTCTCAGCACCCGAATGACCCACTTGGAGTTTGCCCTTGATGCTTAGCAGCGCATCCGCCCAATTTGCAGTAGATCCTGACAAGCGACGTCGGAGGGGATGACGTCGTCTACACGCGTTGGTACGGGGGGGGGGGATTTCTGGAAGTGTCGGCTGTTGCGGCGGCAGTCGACAAGGGAGCAACCGAGGAGGGGAGTCGGTCGAAAGGCTTGCAGGAAATCAAGTGTAACGGACTTAATTCCCAAACGATCGACAAGAAGAGGAGGGGCAACAAAAGAGAAGAGCGGACCAAGCTCCCAGGGAAAGGTGGTAAAACTAAAGGGAAGGGACTGTGCCAGGCCCAGAGGGGACTTAGCCAAATCAACCACTCCAAGAGGTCGCCTCAGGGGTAAAAAGGATTGCTCGCGGGAGCACCGGTAAAAACCCTGAAGCCGCGCCTCGGCTAACAAAAGATAAAACAAACCGAAAGAAGACTGCGGTCTGGGCGCCCCGAACCCGCGACCACCGAGTGCGCGCCTGCGCGCCTCACGACTACGCCATCGCACCGACGATGCTGTGAAACGAGGCAAGCCTCTGGTCAAGTCAACTCTACCCGCACATAGCCTTGGGGGGCTTCCTTCGAGTACACGCTGTCATCCTGACAGAAGGTCAATCGGCAAGCATTCGCACGCGCCTCAACCGCCGGAGTCGCCAGACGAGCATCGTCTCGCTGGAGGATGTGGATGGCACCGAGACCGTTGACATGCAGGAGGTGCTGGGTATTGCTTCACGGCACGCGCAGTCGCTCTTCACGCCGGACCCAGCTCGTGGCGACCCGACGAACGCACGCCGGTCCCTGCTCGACCCTATTCGCGCAGCGAAATGCTACGATGACAACCGCTCGGACCCTACGTTCGGTCGTCGGCTGCCTCGTCAAGCGAGAGTGGCGCTTGACGAGCCCTTCACCCTCCTCGAGGTTGAAGCGGCGTTGAAGAAGACGGATTCGGGGCGATCACCGGGGCCCTCGGGCATTCCGTACGAGCTCTTCAAGGCGCTGCCAACCTACTTTGCTCCCAAGCTGTTGGACTTGTTCAACTCGATTTGGGAGGGCGGCAAAATGATGGCGTCCTTGGCAGAGGGGCTGGTGCGGCTCTTGCCCAAGAATAAACCGGGGGCCAATCTGAAATCACTGGGGGCATACCGACCGATCACATTGCGCGAGACGACCTACAAGGTCCTCAGCAAGGTCTTGGTGGCGCGACTCAATGGGGTGCTCGGCGAGCTTTTACCGCCGGCGCAACACGGTTTCATGCCATCAAGACGTTCAGCAGACGCGGGAAGTCATCTCACTCTCCTTCTCGAAAAACTCAAGTCGCTAGGCACTGATGTTTTCCCCAAGGGCGCCCTCTTGTCTTTGGATCAGCAGAGCGCGTACGATCGGGTCGATCACGCCTGGATCTTTGAGGTCTTTGAGGCCTTTGGGTTCGGTGAGCGTTTCATCTCGCTGCTGCGCGCTCTCTACGATCCCGAGACTCTGGGGGTGCGCTACCTTGTCAATGGGTTCCCCACGGACTTGGTGCGGTTGCTGTGTGGTCTCGGTCGGGGGGATCCCCTCTCGTGCCCGGTTTGGAACATCACGTTCCAGCCCTTCCTCGACGCCCTCGTTTGGCGCGGGATCGCGCTCGACCTGCAAAAGGTGTGGCCAGGGGGGCCGCGTGCGCAGCTTACGCATCTGGTGTTTGCCGACGATGCTGTGGTGGTGGTGGAGTCACCGGCGGCATTGTCGAAGCTGCAAACGCTGTCACAGACGTGGTACGAGGCTACCAACGGGGAGACCAACACGGACAAGACGCTGGTGCTACCACTCGGACCGAACTGGCTTCGGGACGAGACTGCGCAGGCGCTGCCAACAGTGCAGGAGGGGGAGAGCTTCAAGTGGTGCGGCTATGCCTTCTTTCGCCACGGTGACTCGAAACTGTTTTGGACCCATGTTCTTGACAGGATCAAGGCCAAGACCCGCGCCGCTCGAGACCGGACACTTTCGCCGAGTGGGAAGGTTTTCTATGCCAATGCTCACATCATCTCGACGGTCCTCCACATGCTGTCCTTCGACATACCGCCTCAATGGTTCACTAAGGCGGCGGAGACGGCACTTACGGACTTTGTCTGGGGAGGAGCAGGGTGAAATACCGTCGCTCGCGATTTCGTGTTCCAGGCTCGGGAGGACGGTGGCTTGGGTTTGATTTCGATTGGCGACATCGTTCATTCGGTGGCGCTTCGATTTTGGGATGCTGTGGCGGGCTCGGACGAGGCGATCTGGGCACCCCTAGCTCGCGAGAGCTGGAGGTCCCTCGTCGCTGCGACCCGCAATTTCAGTCCGTGGGGGTTCTTCAGCAGCACGGCTCGGGTCGAGAAGCTGTATCGCGACTCGACGCGCTGGGGGGCAGTCGTTGCAGCGGCCAGGGTCACAGTTCCAACCATCAAGTCCGAACTCCTTACGCTTCCCGAATTGCTCTCGCTTCCGCCTCGCCTCCCTTCACTCTATGCTGAAGGTGCCCAGCACGCATATGACGATGCGGACGCGGTGGCGAAGTTTGCGCAGATCGCGGACCTGTACTGGAGGGACGAAGGGAAGGGATGGGCTCTGGTTGGTCATCGACGCGGGTTCTGGCAGCACTCTAAGGAACCCGCCCTACAGCACGAGCACGTGTGGTCGCGCGTGGGTCAGTTGCTCAAGGCGAAAGCGTTGCTGCCCAAGACCGCATTGCGACCTGCTCGGATACCTCTCAAGGAGGCTCCCCGTCCTCGGTGCTTCAACTTCTTTGGGCTCTCCCGACCTTTTACAATTCGCAAGCTTCGTCGGCTTGTGAACAAGGTGCGGTTCCCAGGGAGGGAGGACCGTGTCAAGCGTTTCCCTGATGGGACTTCTCAGAGCGATAGGAAGCGCTTCTGGAGATGGCTTCATGACCGGTTCGCGTCTGCTGTCGAGCAGGACACCCACTGGCGGCTCATGTACGACGTGACGCCGACGCGCAAGAGGCAGCATACTCAGGGTCATGCCTCTTCGCCGACGTGTCTGTTCTGCGGCAACGATGCAGCGGTCATCGAGACGGTGTCCCACTACTTTTTCGAGTGCGCGTACTCGACCAGCTTCTGGGGTGGGGTGCTACGCATTCTGCTTGACAAGCTCGGCATCGAGGATACCGACGTCGATCCGTCGACGTTCACTCCGGAGCAGCTGACTATGGGGCTCCCCCTTTTGCGGGGTCGTGGGAGAACGACCTCGAAATGGATGTGGGTTCGGCTGGCCTGCGCGATCGGTTTCCAGCGGCTGCACCTGCTCCGCTGGCGCGTTCATCAGCGGTTCGAGCTGGACAACGTCGTGGCCCCTCCCTCGCTTCCCAGTGCGCTCAGAGCGTTCGAGCGAGATTTTCTCTCTCGAGCGGGTTTTGTGCCTGGGGTTCGAGATTGGGAGGTGTGATGACCGAGTTAAGTCCTTCCTTCCTTTTCGGTCAGAAGCTGACTGTCTTGAAACTTGTTGCGCAGTGGAAGGCTGCGCACCTCTCCCTCTCTCTACTTTGTGCAGTAGCGGTTTTCGTTCTTGGATGGATCGGCAAGCCGGGTCGATCGTCGTTGCGTTGGAGGCTTTGTGAAGTTCTCCCCCTCTTTCCCCCCCTTTTTTTTTCCCTTCCCTTCCTCTTCTCTTTCCTGTTGCTCGGTTGTTGACTACGCTTCAGCCACTTCTCCTTCTATTCCTAAGCCGTGTGTTGGATTCCGTCGAATGGATCGTTCGTTCGCGTTGGTCAAGTTCTACGGCATGGATCGGGAAGAAAGGTCGCTCGTTTCTTGGTCAATATCCTCGCGTCAAGGCGAGGCTCGTTTCGTGGTATTGGATCGTTTTCGCTCGGCCCCGACGGCTCAACAGCCAGCACTCGAGACTCAGCCAAGGGAGGACATCAGGCGCTGTCGGGGTGACGAGTAGCTGGGGCTTGGCTGCGGCCTGTCAGTCCCTGGGGACCTCTAGCTCTGGCTTCGACCCCCTCCCTTGGCCCCTCGGGTGTGTTCCCCTCCTCCTCCCCTCCTCTCTGTCTTAGTATTCCTGGTTCTCCGTGTTTCCGGTCGTGAATTTTTGTATATTCTCCCCCTTTCTTTCTCTAGGCGCTCTTGCCTGGTTTTCGAGTATCTTCGCTCCCGCTCTTGGGACGTGAAGCGGCAGCAGTACTCACCGCCCGTTGGAGTCCGCGTTAGGTGCTCGGCGAGTTTTGATCTGCGCAGCGCTCTTTGCGCGCAGGGGTTTGACTTTCACCCAATTGCTTGCCGTCGTTGCTTTATAACCTCTTTTAGCTCTTTTTCTAGCGGTCCCAGCCAACCCGAAGGATTGCAATTTATGAGCCCCAGTAAAAAAAAAAAAAAAAATCCTTCGAGTATTGATGGCAGTGCAGGCTGTGATCCTGACACTATCCCCCCCCAGAAGGAAGTCTACCCTGCGGCGAGGCGGCGGCGGTGCGGAGCGAGTTGGGCGGCGGGCGGACTTAGGCGGTCTCGCGCGGCCGGGTCGGTCGGAGTTGGCCGTGCTCGGCCGGGGTCGGGTTGGCGGAAGGGGACGGCGGGCCGTCTTCGGCAGCGGCGCAGGACGTGTCGCGCTCGGTGGCCATGGCGATCGCTCAACTCGACAGTCGACGATTCCAGGACGAACGAGGCTGGCACGAGGCGACCATGCGATAAGGCGGCGGCGGTGCGAAACGAGTGTGGTGGCAAGCGGACTTGTGACAAGCGACGTCGGAGGGGATGACGTCGTCTACACGCGTTGGTACGGGGGGGGGGATTTCTGGAAGTGTCGGCTGTTGCGGCGGCAGTCGACAAGGGAGCAACCGAGGAGGGGAGTCGGTCGAAAGGCTCGCAGGAAATCAAGTGTAACGGACTTAATTCCCAAATGATCGACAAGAAGAGGAGGGGCAACAAAAGAGAAGAGCGGACCAAGCTCCCGGGGAAAGGTGGTAAAACTAAAGGGAAGGGACTGTGCCAGGCCCAGAGGGGACTTAGCCAAATCAACCACTCCAAGAGGTCGCCTCAGGGGTAAAAAGGATTGCTCGCGGGAGCACCGGTAAAAACCCTGAAGCCGCGCCTCGGTTAACAAAAAGATAAAACAAACCGAAAGAAGACTGCGGTCTGGGCGCCTCGAACCCGCGACCACCGAGTGCGCGCCCGCGCGCCTCACGACTACGCCATCGCACCGACGATGCTGTGAAACGAGGCAAGTCTCTGGTCAAGTCAACTCTACCCGCACATAGTCTTGGGGGGGCTTCCTTCGAGTACACGCTGTCATCCTGACAACTTGGGCGAGTTCGCGCGGCCGGGGTCGCGGTTGCGAAGAGGCGCGGCGCGCGACGTGTCACCCTCGGCGGCCATGGCGATCACTCAACTCACAGTCAACAGCGATTCCAGGGCGAACGAGGGCGGTCACGAGACGGTAAGAAGAGGTGGGGGGGTGGGGGGGAGGAACCACGCGGTCGTCAAAGAGGCCGAACTCGAGAGGAGGCGGACGACGCGAAGACGAAGGGCGGGAGGGCGGGAATGCTCGTCCAGGGTGTGGGACTGAGCGGTGAGAGAAGCTGGGACTGTCGCTAGCAATGCCGAACTTAAAAAAAAGTGACAGGCAACGTCGGAGGGGATGACGATGACTACACGCGAGAGAGCGCGCGAAAGCGCGAAGAAGCGAAAGGGGTGTCGACCGAGAGGCAACCGCGGAGGATACGCGGCTGCAAGGCTCGCAGCAAGTCCAGTGTACCGGACTATGGTGGCCAACGAGGTCGGACAGAAGAGGGAGGGCAAACGATCCAAGAAATAGCTGACCAGGCCTGTCAGGATGACAGCGTGTACTCAAAGGAAGCCCCCCAAGGCTATGTGCGGGTAGAGTTGACTTGACCAGAGACTTGCCTCGTTTCACAGCATCGTCGGTGCGATGGCGTAGTCGTGAGGCGCGCGGGCGCGCACTCGGTGGTCGCGGGTTCGAGGCGCCCAGACCGCAGTCTTCTTTCGGTTTGTTTTATCTTTTTGTTAACCGAGGCGCGGCTTCAGGGTTTTTACCGGTGCTCCCGCGAGCAATCCTTTTTACCCCTGAGGCGACCTCTTGGAGTGGTTGATTTGGCTAAGTCCCCTCTGGGCCTGGCACAGTCCCTTCCCTTTAGTTTTACCACCTTTCCCCGGGAGCTTGGTCCGCTCTTCTCTTTTGTTGCCCCTCCTCTTCTTGTCGATCGTTTGGGAATTAAGTCCGTTACACTTGATTTCCTGCGAGCCTTTCGACCGACTACCCTCCTCGGTTGCTCCCTTGTCGACTGCCGCCGCAACAGCCTATGAGATGATCACCACTACTGTCAGGAGAAGTCGAGAGTCGAACAGAAGTGATGTATTTCAGCGTACCTATGAGATGATCACCACTACTGTCAGGAGAAGTCGAGAGTCGAACAGAAGTGATGAGAAGGAAGCTAAGAAATGGAAAGGTGGCCCGCGCTGGGATATGCCCAGGCGCGGGCGAAATCGCTGGAGCGCTGAGGCAGTCGCGCGCGGCTAAGTCCCCACTGCAAGGGCGGGCTAGCGGCGCGCGCCCGAAAACCGCCGGCGCCGGCGCGCTGAGGCACTCGCGCGCGCCTAAGTCCCCACCACAGGGGCCAGGCTAGCAGGCGCGCGCAACGACCGAGGCGCCCCTGTCGAGCTGAGAGTGGACTCTTCACACCCCCCCCCACGCGAATGCGAGGCAGATCCAAGCCGTGGGTGTCGAGTGCGAAGGCCTAGTGCGTAGCAGTGTGTCGAGAAAATCTTTGGGCCAAGAGCCTTTGTGAAGATGTCGGCCACCATGTTGCTGGTTCCCACATGCGAGAGTGAGATATCGCCCCGATTCACCATGTCCCGAACAAAGTGCTCGCGCAAGCGTATGTGTCGAGTGCCGGAGACGCGGACAGGGTCGTGGGCAACTGCGGCAGCGGCTTCATTGTCAGTAAAAATGTGAGCCGGTGCAACAGGTTGGACATGGAGCTCCTCGAGCAGCTGACTGAGGTAGATCCCTTCCTTGCCAGCATGCGAGAGGGCGAGGTATTCAGCGTCGGTGGTAGAATCGGCAACTCGAGATTGACGCTTGGACGACCAAGACACGGCGGATCCGGCAATGTAGAAGACGTAGCCCATAGTGGACACCGACGTATCGACGCAGGCCCCCCAGTTCGCGTCGGAGTAGCCAACCACGCCCGTGATGCGTGTCTCGCCGCAAGCATAAACCAGTTCGTCGCGATATGTGGCCCGGAGATAGCGGAGGATGTGCTTGACCGCGATCCAGTGACGACGTCCAGGGTTGTTGGCGAAGCGGGCCAGGTAGGACACGGCGAAGGCGATGTCGGGGCGGGTGCCGAGCGAAATGTAGAGGAGCGAGCCGATAGCCTGCAGATACCATGACCTGATCCGTTCGGTGCCTTGACCCGGGATGGCGGTGAGCGAAAGGCCGGGGGTCATCGGGACTGTAGTGCCGCGAGTCGTGGTGTCGAAGTGGAACCGAGCAAGCACGTCCATGATGTACCGTTCCTGGGACAGGGCAATAGAACCGTCTTCGAGTCGCCTGATCTGGATGCCGAGGATGTACTCTGCCGGGCCGAGGCGCTTGACGCCGTAGCGTTGTTCGAGGCCCGAGATGACACGTTCAATTTCGGCCAAGTCGGGGCTGATCATCAGGAGGTCGTCGACGTACAGCGCGATGTAGTGTGGGCGTCGCCGATCGTCGATCCGAGAGTACACGCAGTGGTCGGTGCCCGTCGCCGTATAGCCGAGATCTCGAAGCGATGCGTCGATGTGTCGATTCCAGATTCGGCCAGCCTGTTTGAGTCCGTAGATGGAGCGTCGCAGACGAAGCACCTTGTCGGTGGGAAGGTCGAAGCCGCGCGGTGTCGTCATCCAGATGTCATGGTCAAGGTCGCCATGCAGATAGGCTTTGTCGATGTCCGCCTGGTGCACGTGCAAGCCGTTGGCGGCCGCCAGCGCGAGGAGTGAGCGTATCGAGGAGAAGCGTGCGACTGGTGCGAAGGTTTCGTTGAAGTCGATGCCGTCGCGTTGCCGATTTCCCTGCGCCACGAGCCGTGCCTTGTGGCCGGTGACTTCGCCGAGTGCATTCCGTTTCGTTTTCCAGACGAACTTGGATGTGACGATGGTCGCACCCGCTGGTACCGTGGATCGGTCCTCGATGGTGAAGACCTTGAAGTCGTCGCGCATGGAATTGAACTCGTCGGTAGCGGCCTTGGCCCACACTTCGCGCTTGTCACTCGACATTGCCTCGCGCCATGTCTGTGGGTCGCTGGTGATGGACTTGACTGGTTGAATGGCTTCTGTGTCAGAGTTGTCGTCGTCGGTGGCGATGAAGGCGCGGTGGTGTTGGGTGAGGAAATCGATTTCGTCCGGCGATTCATCGCGCGAGTGGCGCCCAATGATGTCGAGTTCGTCGGGCGACTCCTCAGCCGATGCGGGCTCACGGTACGTGCTGAAGTCTGGGCGGTGCACGTCCGGTGGGCCGAGGCGAGTCGGGGTCTGTGAGCCGATGAGGTCCAGAGGGTCGGCGGAGTAGTCAGAGTCGGTCGGTAAGGCCGAGGGTGACGATGACGCAGCCAACGACGGTGACAGCGCAGGCGACGGTGACAAGGGAGTTGCGGGCGACGGTGACGAGGACGGCTCAGGAGACGGTGACGAGGACGATTCGGCATCTGTGGAATTAAGTAAGGTTCCGCCAGTGTACCCTGGGGCCACGTCAACGGCGCTCATGGCAGAGTCATCAAGAGAGGATGAGACGTCCATGTGCGCCGACCTTACTAGTGGGGTCCATGTCTTGACAACGGCTTGGGATTCGGTGGTCGGGCAAGCGCTGGCGAAGTGCGTGTCGGCGTCTTGCTCGGTGGAGTCGCTACGTAACCCGGGAAATTCGTTGTCGAGGAACCTGGCATTTCTGCCCAAACTGATCTTCTTGGTCGTCGTGTCGTAGAAACGGAAGGCTTTAGAAGCCAGGTCATAGCCGGTGAAGAGAACGCGAACCGCTTTCGGGTCGAGTTTCGAGCGAAGTTCAGGCGCGACTGTGAGCCAAGCCGTGCAGCCGAACGGGTGAAGCGCCGAGGCGTTGGTGCGGTCGCCCTGCCAGGCGAAGTTCGGTGTTGCCTTGTCCAGGGCCGAGTGTTCGCACAGGTTCTTGCAGTAGACGAAATAAGCTGCTGCCTCCTCCCAGAATGATTTGGGTAAGTGGGCGTCTGCAAGGAGGGCAAGGACACCTTCGACGATAGAACGATTGACTCGTTCGGCACGACCGTTCTGTTGAGGCGTTCGAGGGATAGAGTATTGTCGACGTGTGCCGCGTGCCTTACAGAATTCCGTGAACGCTCTCGAACAGTATTCGCCACCATTGTCGGTTCGGAGGACCTTCAGTTTTGCATCCGTCTCGAGTTCGACCTCGGCAAGCCATGTCTTGAACACGCCAAAGACTTCGCTTTTGTGTCCGATCGCGTATGCCCACAGTTTGCGCGAGAAGTCGTCAAGAAACGTGACCAGGTAACGCTTGCCAGTCAAGGACGACTCGGGAAAGGAAAGCACATCGCTGTGTACGAGGCCGAGTCTCTCTGAGGAGTGCGAGTCCGAATCGGGAAAAGGAAGACGATGGCCCTTTGCACTGAGGCAAGCATTGCAGACAAACTTCTCTACCTCTTCGTCACTATATCCGGCCCCGAGACCTTCCAGCAAACCAGCGGCAACCATCTTCTGTATGGACGACGGTGCGAGATGGCCGAGGCAGCGGTGAAGGGTCAGCAGGGGCACGGAAGACTGTGAGCGAGAGAGGAGAGCGAGATGCTGACATTTGGAATGATCAGCGTCCAGCAAGTAGAGCCCTTCCTCGAGTCTTGCGCCTTCAGCGATAGCATTGCCGTTCTTGTCGATATGGATGCCGTGCTTCGTGAAGGCGACACGGACATCGTCGGTGTCGCAAAGTCGAGAGACCGAGAGGAGGTTGACAGACAGGCCCGGGGTGTGCAGCACGCCGGTAAGCGTGATCGGGTGACCGGAGGCGGCAACAAAGGCGATGTTTCCCGTTCCGACGGCGTTGATGCCCCCTGCAATACCACCAATCTTCGTAGGAGCGATGTGGCGATAGGCCGTGAACAGCGACTTGTCCGAGACCATGTGCGAAGTGGCACCCGAGTCGACGACGAAGGAGTTGTTGCGAAGCTGACGACGATGTGCGAGAAGACCGGTGGCGAGACATCCGACATGGTGTTGCGCATCAGAGGTGTCGGGCGTTTTCCCGTCCTCAAGAGCCTTTTTGCAGTCGAAAGACCAGTGGTCCTTCTTCTTGCAGGAGCGACACGGGCCTGGCGGTGGATGCTGGGCCCTTGTAGGGCATTGTGCGACGCGGTGAGAAGGGCTGCGACAGGCGAGGCACTTGGTACGGGTAGAACGTGGCGACGACGAGGCAAGGAGGGCCGATTGATCGTTGGAGAGGTTCGTTGACCGGAGTTGAACTCGCATACGGTCGGCCACTGAATCGATGTCAGGGAGAGTTCGTTGCGTGCGTTGTTCGTCGGTGAACGTTGCCTTGAAGCTCTCGAGTGACGGGTGGGCGATCGCGAGGAGGAGTGTGGCAAGGACGTCGTTGATCGTCGTTTTCGTATCGATGATCTCTTGCGCGACCGACTTGAAGTCCATGATCCAACTGTCAAATTCGCCAACCGTTCCGGGCATGGGTCGGAAGCCCCAGAGTCGCGAGAAGAGCTCGAGCGTGCGAGTGGCGTCATCAGGGGCGTATCGCGATTTCAGCGTCGAGTAAATCTTGGGCGCTGTGAGGTCGGCCGTAGGGATCTTGTCGAGGACTGCCGAGACTTCGGCCGAGTCGATTGAGTTTGCAAGGATCTCGCGTGCCACGACGTCGCGGGCGGAGCGTTGCGAAGGCGTCCAATCGTCGGGGGTGATTCCGTCGAGGACGTAGGAGCGGATGTCGTCCGCTAGGCACAGGCGAAGCTGGCGTGTCCAGTTCGCGAACGTCTTCGGCCCGTCCAACCGCGCATGCTTCGGGAAGGCATTGCGATTGGAGCCGGATGTCGTGGCGGGTGCGGTAGTGCCGGAAGCGGCAGCGGTGAGTCCCGACAGCAGCGATGTAAGTGCGGCAAGCTGTTCGGCGGGAATTGTCGGGGTGGCGCTCGTCGCGAGGGTTGACGACGTGTCCATGCCAGCGGTAGCTCGATGGGCTTATAACCTATGAGATGATCACCACTACTGTCAGGAGAAGTCGAGAGTCGAACAGAAGTGATGTATTTCAGCGTACCTATGAGATGATCACCACTACTGTCAGGAGAAGTCGAGAGTCGAACAGAAGTGATGAGAAGGAAGCTAAGAAATGGAAAGGTGGCCCGCGCTGGGATATGCCCAGGCGCGGGCGAAATCGCTGGAGCGCTGAGGCAGTCGCGCGCGGCTAAGTCCCCACTGCAAGGGCGGGCTAGCGGCGCGCGCCCGAAAACCGCCGGCGCCGGCGCGCTGAGGCACTCGCGCGCGCCTAAGTCCCCACCACAGGGGCCAGGCTAGCAGGCGCGCGCAACGACCGAGGCGCCCCTGTCGAGCTGAGAGTGGACTCTTCACACAGCCGACACTTCCAGAAATCCCCCCCCCGTACCAACGCGTGTAGACGACGTCATCCCCTCCGACGTCGCTTGTCACTTTTTTCAAGTTCGGCATTACCGACAACGATCCGCACCTCTACAACCGCTTCGTCCACCGTCCTGGACGAGCATTCACCCCCACTCTCTGAGCCTGAGTCTTCAGCCTCCTCTCCGTTGCCGAATTCATCACCAACGAACGCGTCGCTGTCCTTCCCGACTTCCTCCACAGAGTCCGACAACGAACACGTTTATCCTTCCTACCCTTTCCGTCAACCGTCTCGTGCCCGCCTTCGTTCGCCCCGCAATCGCCGACGTTTGAGTCACGAGATTGCCATGGCCGACGAGCGCGACATGTACCGCGCCGCCGCCGATGATCGAGACGCTCCTCTCCGCGCCGAAGACCCCGGCCGCGCGAAACCGCCCAAGTCCCCGCCGCCCCAACCCTACCACACCGCCACCGCTCTATCGTCCCTCGAAAGCCGCCTCGAGGAATCCGAAGCCCGTCGTATCGACTCCGAGGAACGTGTTCAGCAATTGGAGAAGTTGGTGGAGGGTTTATTGAAAAGCTCACCTGAACCAGCTGCGGCGCGGGCCGGAGTCTCTGAACCAGCTGTGGCGAGGGCTGGATTCTCTGAACCAGCCGCAGCGCGGGCTGGGGAGTTTACGTTTCCGCCGGTGAGATCGGTCCCCTTGGACGTTCCCCCACACACCATTCTGGAACGTTCAGGCAATACCGCTGACCCCCTTGTTCGTTCCCCTGGGGGGAATCTCACAGCGCACGAAGGGACGGCCCTTCCTCGGCAGTAATCAGCTCTCGTTGGAGAGGGACGTTACCTGACCGGGAAGGGCTATGGACAGGGGATAACCCGGATCGGTTGGTCACTTTCACTACATTTGGGAAGTCGTACTTGTCTCTACTTTGCGACATTTCCACCAGCGACCTTTTTACCACCGACCGCGTCATCCAGCTTGTGGCGACCTTGTTCGTTCGTTCCACTTCTCCCAAGCGCCGTCAGTCTCCGCACGACTGGGCCGTTGATACTATGACGGACGCGCTCCGGGATGAACGACCTCACTGCTGGACGACACTGATGACAGAAGTTGGACATCGTTGGCCGGATCCTGGCTTTGCCGACCGAGTGTCCCACGACTTCTACGGGTGCCGACAGTCTTCGTCTCGAGCCTACGACCATGTGGGCGAATGGCGTGCCCGCTACCGAGCGTTTATGCACAACGACCCCAGCTTCAGCCTCTCGTCCCTTCAACTCGCCACAACCTTTTATCAATCGTTGAGTGATGTGGCTAAGCGGGAAGTGCGGGCTGGTATGCTGCGGGAATATCGGGATAACTCACTCGTGACTATAGGGAGGTTCGGACGAACTGTCCCGTCCCTCGAGGAGGTTACCGACTGGGCCGCCATCGCCGACGACACCGGCACGACATCAGTTTCGACCCCGCCGATTCGTACTGCGACTTATGGAGCAATTGCGAAAACGCCACGCACCGCCCCATCCACGCCAAACGACGACGCACGTACCCAGATCCGTCGAGCTCGATGGATGAACCGCGCCGGTAAATGGCAACAGGCCCACCTGTGGAAGGATCGGAACACGTGGTTTTCGCCAGCATCGGGTGGGGTACCCGCCAGCATGGCGTGTTTTAATTGCGGTCAAGGTGGCCATTTCTCACAGCATTGTACAGCGGAGCGACAATCCCCCTCGACCGTCCAAATATCAGCAATTGCCTTCGCCGACATGGACGAGGACGAATGGTCGTCGGCCTCAGGTGACGTTGAGGACCCCCAGGTGCGATTCCCCCTTCCCCTCGAGACTGATTTGACTCGACCGTCGAGTTCCGCATCCGCCTTAGTGACGCACCACTCTTGCCCTCCTGCAGACCTTGTTGGCCGAGTGAAAGACGTTGCCTCTTCTTCTTTTGAAGTTCAGACCTCATCAAGTAGTTCGCATCCAACCGTGCCGGCAAATGATGCAGATCAACATCGTCTCGACGATAGCCTGGCTGACATCGCGATTGACGCGGTGGAAGATGTCTTGTACTACGCTGATGCCGCGTCGCGCTTGTGTCATTATCCGGGGCCGGAAGTGGTGTCGTCTCGCAAGGCGGAAAGGACTGCTTCGGTGAGCTCTTTCCAGATTCTTGTGCCGTCGGGTGTGTCTCTCTTGGCGTCCGCTGCGCCCCTGATCGACATCGACGAACCCGACCGACCTGTCGAGCCCGCCATTGTACGCGCCCGCAACGTCATCGCTTGGACGCTACCTTCTGGAAGGGTTTTGCGATGTTTGATCGACTCTGGATCAGAGGTCGACTTGGTGGATCAGGAGGTGGTGCGAGTCGACCCGAGCTTCGCAACGGCCCGTTTGACTGCACCATTGCACTTGCGCCTCGGCACCCAGGATAAGTCCGACCGATGTGCTGTGTTCGCCACCGCTCCTTTTTCGTCTGGCGCCCTAGATCTCGGTTTGCGACCATTCTTCGTTTGCCGTGTAACGGCGTACGACGCCATCTTGGGGCTGCCATTTCTTAAGGACACAGGCATGCTCGTTGGTTGGGGCGTCTTCACCGTCGCGCGCACCGGCCCTTCGCAACCCGTCGCCCAGGATACGCACGAATGGGACCGAGCCGTCACCGTAGCACCTATCTTATCCAGTTCTGCCATTGGCTGCAATCACCCTGGGTTGCTTCCCGACGACGAGATCATCGGCCTCGAGCCACACAACCCGCTGCTCGATGTCGTCGACGATCCGGCGCTCGACGATTTCTCTGAGTCCGAAGCACGAACACGATTGGCTGCCTTACTCGAGAAATTTTCTGATGTGTTCGTAGATTCGCTACCGATGGACCAACTCCCACCGTACCGGCCAGTCAACCACGAGATCCCGTTGATGTCAGGAGCACAGCCTGCACTGCCATCAATACTCGAAGGAAGTCTCCCAAGTTTGCGGCCGGAGTCGACATCAGCTACCGGTTTGTTCGTTGCAAGCATTGTCGGCGCGATGGTGTAGTCGTGAGGGCGCGCGGGCGCGCACTCAGTGGTCGAGGGTTCGATCCGCCCGGAGCGTGATCTGCCTTTTGGTTTCTTTTCCTTTTTGTTATCCGAGGCCCGGCTTCGGGGTTTTTACCGGTGCCTTGCAGGCAATCCTTTTTACCCCTGAAGCGACCTCGTGGTGTAGTTATTTGATTCAGTCTTTCCTTCGCTCGGAGCACTTCCCTCCTTTTGCTTTTGCCACCCTTCCCCTAGAGCTTGGTCCACTCATTATCATGACTCGTACCCTCCCTCTTTTTACCCATTTCGCTGGCAATTAAGTCCGTTACACTTGATTTGCTGCGAAGCCTTCCGACCGAATCCACTCCTCGGTTGCTCTCGGTCGACTGCCGCCGCCCAGCCGACTCGACCTTCCCATCGGCCTGGTCAGCTATTTCTTGGATCGTTTGCCCTTCCTCTTTTGTCCGACCTCGTTGGCCACCATAGTCCGGTACACTGGACTTGCTGCGAGCCTTGCAGCCGCGTATCCTCCGCGGTTGCCTCTCGGTCGACTTCCGCCGCCCAGCCGACTCGACCTTCCCACCGGCCTGGTCAGCTATTTCTTGGATCGTTTGCCCTCCCTCTTCTGTCCGACCTCGTTGGCTACCATAGTTCGGTACACTGGACTTGCTGCGAGCCTTGCAGCCGCGTATCCTCCGCGGTTGCCTCTCGGTCGACTGCCGCCGCCTCGGTCGACACCCCCTTCGCTCCTTCGCGCTTTCGCGCGCTCTCTCGCTCTCTCCCTCGTCTCTCGCGTGTAGTCATCGTCATCCCCTCCGACGTTGCCTGTCACTTTTTTCAAGTTCGGCATTGCTAGCGACAGTCCCAGCTTCTCTCACCGCTCAGTCCCACACCCTGGACGAGCATTCCCGCCCTCCCGCCCTTCGTCTTCGCGTCGTCCGCCTCCTCTCCGTTCGGCCTCTCGAGTTCGGCCTCTTTGACGACCGCGTGGTTCCTCCCCCCCACCCCCCCACACCTCCCCCACCCCCCACCCCCCCACCTCTTCTTACCGTCTCGTGACCGCCCTCGTTCGCCCTGGAATCGCTGTTGACTGTGAGTTGAGTGATCGCCATGGCCGCCGAGTGTGACACGTCGCGCGCCGCTGCCGCAGCCAGCGCGCCGCGCCTCTTCGCAACCGCGACCCCGGCCGCGCGAACCCGCCCAAGTCCGCCTGCCACCACACTCGTTTCGCACCGCCGCCGCCTTATTGCATGGTCGCCTCGTGCCCGCCTCGTTCGTCCTGGAATCATCGACTGTCGTGTTGAGCGATCGCCATGGCCACCGAGCGCGACACGTCCTGCGCCGCTGCCGAAGACGGCCCGCCGTCCCCTTCCGCCAATCCGACCCCGGCCGAGCACGGCCAACTCCGACCGACCCGGCCGCGCGAAACCGCCTAAGTCCGCCCGCCGCCCAACTCATTCCGCACCGTCACCGCCTCGCCGCACGGTAGACTTCCTTCTGGGGGGGATAGTGTCAGGAGCACAGCCTGCACTGCCATCAATACTCGAAGGAAGTCTCCCAAGTTTGCGGCCGGAGTCGACATCAGCTACCGGTTTGTTCGTTGCAAGCATTGTCGGCGCGATGGTGTAGTCGTGAGGGCGCGCGGGCGCGCACTCAGTGGTCGAGGGTTCGATCCGCCCGGAGCGTGATCTGCCTTTTGGTTTCTTTTCCTTTTTGTTATCCGAGGCCCGGCTTCGGGGTTTTTACCGGTGCCTTGCAGGCAATCCTTTTTACCCCTGAAGCGACCTCGTGGTGTAGTTATTTGATTCAGTCTTTCCTTCGCTCGGAGCACTTCCCTCCTTTTGCTTTTGCCACCCTTCCCCTAGAGCTTGGTCCACTCATTATCATGACTCGTACCCTCCCTCTTTTTACCCATTTCGCTGGCAATTAAGTCCGTTACACTTGATTTGCTGCGAAGCCTTCCGACCGAATCCACTCCTCGGTTGCTCTCGGTCGACTGCCGCCGCCCAGCCGACTCGACCTTCCCATCGGCCTGGTCAGCTATTTCTTGGATCGTTTGCCCTTCCTCTTTTGTCCGACCTCGTTGGCCACCATAGTCCGGTACACTGGACTTGCTGCGAGCCTTGCAGCCGCGTATCCTCCGCGGTTGCCTCTCGGTCGACTTCCGCCGCCCAGCCGACTCGACCTTCCCACCGGCCTGGTCAGCTATTTCTTGGATCGTTTGCCCTCCCTCTTCTGTCCGACCTCGTTGGCTACCATAGTTCGGTACACTGGACTTGCTGCGAGCCTTGCAGCCGCGTATCCTCCGCGGTTGCCTCTCGGTCGACTGCCGCCGCCTCGGTCGACACCCCCTTCGCTCCTTCGCGCTTTCGCGCGCTCTCTCGCTCTCTCCCTCGTCTCTCGCGTGTAGTCATCGTCATCCCCTCCGACGTTGCCTGTCAGTTGATCAATCCCACCGAAAAGGTCAAACCCCGGGTATACCCCCTTGCCGACAAATATCGCAGCCAGTGGGCGGAACACTCAGCTAAGTACACTCGTGGTCGATTCTGGGTTTCGGGTCCGATCGATTCTGCGGCTCCGGTCTTTGCCATTCCGAAGAAGAACTCCCAGACGGCTCGTTTCGTGATCGACCTCCGCGCGCGCAACAGCAACACCGTCAAGCGTTTTTCGCCCATCCCGGACATGACCAATGTTCGATACGAGGTGGCTCGATCGCGTTATCGCTCTAAATTCGACGTGGCCGCGGCATTTGAGCAGGTTCGGGTCATACCGGAGCACGTCGATCGCACCGGCTTCGCAACGGTGACGGGCACGTACACGTCGCGGGTCATGCAGTTTGGTGACACCAATGCGCCCAATACCCTCAACCTCTTGACCTCGGCGATGTTCCAGCCGTGTCTCCCGTTCGCCAAGATCTTTTTCGACGATGTCCACGTCCATTCCGATACCCGTCGTGCGCACTTGAGACACATCAAGATCCTGCTGATGACATTGAGACATTACCGGTTCTACTTAGGATCCAAGAAGTCCGAGTGGTTCTCAAAGTCGTTGGACTCCTTGGGCACCATCATTTCTGACGTCGGCATCGAAGTCGACCCCGCCAAGTGGGTGCGTATCCGTCAGTGGCCGATCCCTTGCAACAAGACCGATGTCCAGCGCTTCCTCGGCACCGTCAACTGGATGCGAGATCACCTACCGCACCTCTCAAAGATTTTGGAGCCGATCACCGCGTTAATGGCGCAAGCGACGTCATGGCGTTGGAACGAGCGAGAACAGCAGGCTTTCGATACCGTCAAGTCCCTTGTGCCCGCCATCCTACGACCGATCGATGGCGCCAAGGTTACCTCGGGCGAGCACAAGATGTACCTCTTCACGGATGCCAGTCGGGTTGGCATTGGCGCTTGTTTGGCGTCTGGGCCCAACCGTTCGCAGGCCGTTCCAACGCGATTCTTTTCCGCTAAGTTCAACGGTGCTCAGCTCAACTATCATGTCACTGATAAAGAGTTCTTGGCTGTTGTCTCGGCGTGTCGGGCGTTCGAGCAGCACTTGATCGGTTACCCCTTCGTCATCGTCACCGACCATCAGGCCCTTCGCACGATAAAAACCCAAAAACTGCGCCAAACGCCTCGGCACATCCGCATGTGTCTCGAACTCAGCCGTTTCGACTTCGAATTTGAATTCATTGCTGGCAAGAACAACACCCTGGCCGATTCGTTGTCGCGTCTGTGGGAGGTCAAGCAGGGTTCACACGAGGATCAGGTCAAGGAGAATGAGTTGGAGGACATGTTCTTTGATGGAGAACGCCACGAATTCACTACACCCGGTGAGAGCCTCCCTGAGGAACGTCCTTGCACTTCACCATCTCCCGATCGGTTGCCTCCTGTTGATTTTGCCCTCGGGCCCCAACACGACGATTGCGAGGCAGGCTCTCCCGGATACTACGCGCTCAAGGAGGAATCGCAAGACGAGGACGTGAATGGACAGGAATTAGGGAATTTGTTCTTGAAGGAAGAATGCCACGAGTTCATTACGCCCGGTGAGAGCCTCCTCGAGGAACGTCCTTACACCTCACCTTCGCACGATCGGTTGCCCCCTGTTGTGAGGAATCCACTCTCCGCTCGGCTCAGGACTTAGGCGCGCGGAGCGAACCGGGCGCGGACTTAGGCGCGCGGAGTGAGCCGGGCGCCCCGGCCCAGGACTTAGGTGCGCGAAGCGAGCCTGGGACTTAGGCGCGCGGAGCGAGCCTGGGCCATTGGCTCAGCCCCAGGCTCGCTGGCTGTGGACTTGGGGCACGCGGGTCTCTTATTGTTAGCTTCCTATTCATCACTCTTGGCTATAACTACATCGCTGACGTAGTAGAGTTGATCGAATAGGTATGTTGAAATGCATTGATCACTCTTGGCTATAACTACATCGCTGACGTAGTAGAGTTGATCGAATAGGTTATAAGCCCACGAGCTACCAGCCCCGCCGCTTGAGGCTTTTTCGCTCGAGCCCAGCCACTCGAGCCGCACACGTCCATCGCACCATCACATCATGGACAGCTCTCCCGCCTCGCCTTTGGCCCCCAGGGATCCCAGCTCCCCTGAATCTTCGATCGGCGAACAAATCGCCACTCTACAGGCCCAGCTTGCCGCTCTGCAGGCCTCGCAACCCGCCGCCGCCGCAGCCGCCGCACCCCCGGCCGTCACCGTCGTGCCGGGGAACGCCGCCACCGCATCCAAGGTCGTGTTTCCCAAGCACGCTCGTCTGGACGGCCCCAAGTCGTTCACCAACTGGTTGCGTCAACTCCGTCTTGCACTCCCGAACCAGGTTCGTGGTTACGTTCTCGACGGTGTCGTTCCCCCGACCTGGACCGCCGACCAGCTTGCCGCACGTGACGACGCCGCCCGGGAAATCATCGTTGGCTCTATCGACTCCGCCGACGTATCGGCCACCCTCGACGCCATCCCCAGCGACGACCTGTCGGCACCGCGCATCTTTGCCGCTCTCAAGGCTCGTTTTGCACCGGACGACGCTACACGCACTCTCGAGTTGTTCGCTCGCCTTTGGGACTTCAGGAAGATGCCTGCCTCCGTCGAGGCCTACGACACTTGGCTACGCGAGTACATGTCGATTGCTCAGGAAATACGCGACGCCAAAACATCGCTCAACGACGTGCTCGCCACCCACGTGCTCGCCATGGTCCCGTCTTGCCTCGACAGCTTCCGACTCACGTTCACGGACGAGCAGCGAAACCGACGCGACCTTCCCGAACTCACGACGCTTACGGACCGCATTCGCATCCAGCTTCGTTCGGCAGGACTCTCGACCTCGCATTCGGCCATGCTTGCCACCAGCTCCCCCTGCCCCGCCTGCCGCGCTCCCGGTCACCGCCTGCGCGACTGCACTTCACGTGCGAAGCACCCGCCCACCGGCCCCTGCCGCCGATGCCACAAGAAAGGTCACTGGGCACTCGACTGCAAGAACCGGGGTGAACAGGCACGTAGCAGCGACGACACCCAGGACGACACGTCTTCCTCCGCGGCCTCGCAACCGAACGTCGGCTATTTCGCCTCCTGCCTCTTCGCTCGTCGCCAACTCCCAACTGACGCCTTTGTAGTCGATTCGGGTGCCACGACACACATGGTCGCCGACCGATCTCTATTCACGACTTATCGTCAGACGGCACACACCAAGATCGGCGGCATCGCGGGCGGCATCACGGCTATCGGCATGGGGGACGTGGCATTCGTCGCCAAGACTGGACACCCGATCACGCTCCGTGGTGTTCTTCACACGCCTGGCCTACACGTCAACCTCCTCTCTGTCTCTCGCCTCTGCGACACCGACCGCGTTCGTCTCGCCTTCACCAGCGACGGCATCGACATCGCCAAGGACGGCCGGGCCATTGCTCACGGTACCAGGGTCAACGACGGTCTTTACCTTTTGGACGCGGATCACACCAAGTGTCAGCATCTTGCCTTCCTCTCACGCTCTGAGTCTCCCGTGCCCCTGCTTACCCTACACCGCTGCCTCGGCCATCTTGCCCCATCCTCTATACAGAAGATGATTGCTGCAGGTTTGCTGGACGGGTTTGGGGCCGGGTACAGTGACAAAGACGTAGAGGAGTTTGTTTGCAATGCTTGCCTTGGTTCCAAAGGTCACCGCCTTCCCTTTCCCGACTCTGAGTCGCATTCCGCCGAGAGACTTGGCCTCGTGCACAGCGACGTCCTGGCAGGCAACGTCCTCTTCAGAAGACGTTGACTACACGCGGAGGAGGGGATCAGGCCGAAGGAAGGTCGACTGGGCGGGGGCAGGCGACCGAGGGACAACCGAGGAGGGGACGCGGTTGTGAGGCTCGCAGCAAGTCAAGTATATCGGACTTTATTGCCAACGAGATCGAAAACGAAGGATGAAGGTGAAGGGATCTTGGGAGATGTAGCGGACCAGGCTGAGTGGGAAGGTGCTAAAAACAAAAGGGAGGCACTCAGGCGCAGAGGGGACTTAGCCAATTCAGCTACTCCAAGAGGTCGCCTCAGGGGGAAAAAGGATTGCTCGCGGGAGCACCGGTAAAAACCCTGAGGCCGCGCCTCAGCTAACAAAAAGAACAAAAACCGAGAGAAGATTGCGCTCTGCGCGCCTTGAACCCGCGACCATTAAGTGCGCGCCCGCGCGCCGAACGACTACGCCATCACGCCCACAATGCTTGAATGGAGGGAAGCATTTGGTGACCTCAACTCTACCTGCACATTACCTCAGGGACTTCCTTCGAGTGTTGCTGTCAGTGTATCGCTGTTTGCCTGACATTGTCCCCCCCAGAAGGAAGTCTACCGGGAGGACAGGCGGCGATTTGAGCGATCGAGTTGTGCCAGGTAGGCGTCGAGTAGGGATGGATGGTCGAAGCGGAGGGACTGCTCTGACATCCAAGTGTCATCGATGTCCTTACGGCCAATCCATCGAACCAAGAACGAACGATTGCCCCGAGCGTTCCGACGATCGCGAACAATCCGTTCCGGAATGGCGGAGTTGTCGGCCGCGTCGGCTACATCTTCAACAAAAAGAACTGCGGGGTCACGCCCAGGGAACCTCTCAGCATCGTTCTCAACATAGGGGCGAAGCAGTCGAGCATGGAAGCGACTGTGCACTCGCGACATTGCTGGGGGAAGCTCGAGGTCGTAACTGGACGTCGCTGGAATGGCCGCTCGGATACGGAAAGGACCAATGTAGCGCGGCAACAACTTCGACTTCATCCCTTCAGGAACTGCCAGGTTCTTGGTCGAAAGATAGACATAACTGCCGGTCCGAAAGGCGGGATCATCCGGGCGTCGATGCTTGTTGGCCTGGTGAGTCTGATCGAGGCGTGCACCAATGATCGCATCCGTGACGTCGAGATTCCGTAACTGTCGGATTCGGGCAAACGCTTCCGCACGCGGGACGTCCGAGACAGACCAGGAATCGGTGGGCCAGCGTCGAGGAAGGTAACCGTAAGTCGCCTCGAAAGCCGACAGAGACGTGGAAACAGCAACGGAAGAGTTAAGAGCGAACTCAGCTTCAACAAGACGAGATGCCCAAGCCTCGTGGTTTGACGACACCATGATGCGCAGAGTTTGGGTGACCATCTTGATTCGGTTCTCACTCGATCCGTCGGTCTCTGGGTGCGCCGCTGTTGACATCCGCAAGACGGTGCCGACCTTCGCCTGCAATGCTCGCCAAAACTGCGAGGTGAACTTGGGATCGCGATCGGAAACGATGGCGGAAGGCGTCCCATGCAGTCGAAAGATGGTGGCGTAGTACCTGTCGGCAACGAGCTCGGAGTCGGCGTCGGCTGGGAGGGGAATCAGGTGGACCATCTTGCCCCAAGTGTCAGTGACCACCATGATTTGAGCGACCATCATCCCTTCGAACTCGACCGGAGGCAGTCCCGTCATGAAGTCGATGGCCACTTGTTCCCATGGGCCAGAAGGGATCGGCATCGGATGCAGTCGGCCATAAGGGACTTGAGTGGACGCTTTGCCTCGGGCACAATCTTCGCATGAATGGCAGAACTTGGCGCAATCGGCAGACATGGACGACCACCAATACAAAGGACGTATGGCGGCCAAGGTGATGCGATGTCCCGCGTGCCCGACGCTCCGATGGATCTCCGAAAGCACGAGCTCGCGCAGCGATGGGAGCTTGTCGGAGTCGACAACGCCGGTAGCGAGACCGCGAGGCACAAACAGGGAAAGAGACTCATCTGGATGTACACGCAAGATCCTCCCTTCCTCGGTCACCCGAAACATCGGCCATGACAGCGGGTCGTCAACAATGACTTGGGCTTGCGAATCGTGGGCGTAGGCTCGGATGACGGCGTCGAGGAAAGGTTGCGGCAGCGGGTCGGGCGGTCGATGGACTACAGGGGCGTCGTTGACCTCATCGGCGGCGGCTCCCAGTAAGTCGAGTTCATCGGCGTCGGCATCGACTGGAATGGGCGCGTCGTTGGCGGGGGCCGCGGCGATAGCATGAACTCGATTGACGGCGATGGGAGGAGAAAGGGGACCGGTAGAAGAGTCGACGGCGTCCATAATGTTCTCGGCCAGACGATGGGAACCGGGAGAGCCTGCGTCGTAGCCGTGATCCCAGGGCCCGAAGGCACAATCAACAGGGGGCAACCGATCGTGCGAAGGTGAGGTGTAAGGACGTTCCTCAGGGAGGCTCTCACCAGGTGTAGTGAACTCGTGGCATTCTTCCTTCAAGAACAAATTCCCTAAATCCCGTCCATTCACGTCCTCGTCTTGCGATTCGTCCTTGAGCGCGTAGTATCCGGGAGAGCCTGCCTCGCAATCGTCGCGTTGGGGCCCGAAGGCAAAATCAACAGGAGGCAACCGATCGGGAGATGGTGAGGTGTAAGGACGTTCCTCAGGGAGGCTCTCACCGTGTGTAGTGAATCCGTGGCGTTCTCCATCAAAGAACATATCCTCCAACTCATTCTCCTTGACCTGATCCTCGGGCGATCCCTCCTTGACTTCCCACAAGCGTGACAACGAATCGGCAAGGGAGTTGTTCTTGCCCGCAATGAATTCGAATTCGAAGTCGAAACGGCTGAGTTCGAGACACATGCGGATGTGCCGGGGTGTTTGGCGTAACTTCTGCGTTTTAATCGTGCGAAGGGCTTGGTGGTCGGTGACGATGACGAAGGGGTAACCGATCAAGTGCTGCTCGAACGCCCGACACGCCGAAACGACGGCTAAGAACTCCTTATCAGTGACGTGATAATTGAGCTGAGCGCCATTGAACTTAGCGGAGAAGAATCGCGTAGGAATGGCCTGCGAACGAGTGGGGCCCGAGGCCAGGCAAGCGCCAATGCCAACACGACTGGCATCGGTGAACAAGTAGATTTTGTGCTCGCCGGAGGTGACCTTAGCGCCGTCGATCGGTCGCAGTGTTGCTGGCACGAGGGACTTGACGGTGTCGAAGGCCTGCTGCTCGCGCTCGTTCCAACGCCACGACGTCGATTGCGCTAATAATGCGGTGATGGGCTCCAAGGTGATCGAGAGGTGGGGCAGGTGATCTCGCATCCAATTCACGGTGCCGAGGAAACGCTGAACGTCGGTCTTGTTGTGTGGAGTCGGCCACTGTCGGATACGCTCCCACTTGGCCGGGTCGACCTCGATGCCGTCGTCGGAGATGATCGCGCCCAAGGAATCTAACGACTTTGAGAACCACTCGGATTTGTTGGATCCTAAGTAGAACCGATAATGTCGCAGTGTCATCAGCAAAATCTCGATGTGTCTTAAGTGCGCGCGACGAGTATCGGAATGGACGTGAACATCGTCGAAAAAGATCTTGGCAAACGAGAGGCACGGCTGAAACATCGCCGATGTCAACAAGTTCAGGGTGTTGGGCGCATTGGTGTCCCCAAACTGCATCACCCGCGACGTGTACGTGCCCGTGACCGTGGCGAAGCCGGTGCGATCGACGTGCTCGGGTATGACCCGCACCTGCTCAAACGCTGCGGCCACGTCGAATTTGGACCGGTAGCGCGAACGTGCCACTTCGTAGCGAACACTGGTCATGTCGGGGATAGGTGAAAAACGCTTGGCGGTGTTGCTGTTGCGAGCGCGGAGGTCGATCACAAAGCGAGCGGTCTGGGAGTTCTTTTTCGGAATGGCGAAGACCGGAGCCGCAGAGTCGATCGGACCAGAAACCCAGAAGCGACCGCGAGTGTACTTAGCTGAATGCTCCGCCCACTGGCTACGATATTTGTCGGCAAGGGGATAGACCCTCGGCTTGACCTTCTCGTTGGGGTCGATCAAAGGGATTTCGTGATTGACGGGTCGATAAGGCGGGAGTCGGTCCATTGGGAGCGAATCTACGAACACATCAGAGTATTTCTCGAGTAAGGCAGCCAATCGTGTTCGTGCTTCGGACTCAGACAAATCCTCGAGCGCCGGGTCGTCGACGACATCCAGTAGAGGGTTGTGCGGCTCGAGGCCAATGATCTCGTCGTCAGGAAGCAACCCTGGGTGATCGTAGCCAATGGCAGAGCCGGAGCAGATGGGCGCCACCGTGACTGCGCGATCCCACTCGTGAGTGCCCTTGGCGACCGGCTGCGAAGGGCCCGGCCGTGCGACGGTGAAGACGCCCCAGCCTACCAGCATGCCGGTGTCCTTCAGAAACGGCAAACCCAGGATAGCATCATATGCCGTCACACGGCAAATGAAAAACGCCCGCAAGCCGAGGTCGAGGGAACCGGACGTGAAGAGGGCGTTGGCAAACACGGCGCAGCGGTCAGATTTGTCGCGAGTGCCGAGGCGCAAGTGCAGCGGCGCGGTAAGGCGGGACGTCGTGAAACTCGGGTCTGTTCGCACGACATCCTGATCCACCAAGTCCACTTCCGAACCAGAGTCGACGAGGCAACGCAGCGTTCGCCCAGACGGCAACGTCCACGCAATAATATTGCGGGCGCGCACAATCGCGGGCTCGGCGGGTCGGGCGAAGTCGTCGACGTCGATCAGGGGCGTGTCGGACTCCAAGAGAGAAACCCCCAACGGCACCGGAACACGAACAGAGCTCACCGATGCAGTCCTCTCCGCTTTGCGCGACGACACCACCTCCGGCCCCCAGTATCGCCGCATTCGCGACGCGGCATCAGCATAAGAGGGGACGTCTTCCACCGCGTCAAACGCAGAGTCGGTCGAGTCATCGGCAAGACGACGTAGATCTGCATCACTTGCCGGCGCGGTTGGCTGCGGATTACTTGATGAGACTTCGACGTCGACTGAAGAAGAAGCCCCTTCTTTCATTCGGCCAACGGGGTCTGCGGGAGGGCAAGAAGGGCGCGTCATTGAAGCGGAAACGGAACTCAAAGGTCGAGTCTGAACACGCTCGAGTGAAATGGGGACTCTCACCTCGGGATCCTCGTCACCACCTGCGACCGAGGACCAATCTTCGTCATCCAAGTCGGCCACAGCGACCGCTGAGAGTTGGACGGCGACCGGGGATTGACGCTCCGCGGTGCAGTGCTGCGAGAAATGACCGCCTCGTCCGCAGTTGAAGCAAGCCATGCTGGTGGGTACCCCGCTGGGCGCCGGGGAAAACCAGGTGGAGCGGTCCTTCCACAAGTGCGATTGCTGCCACTTAGTAGCGCGGTCGACCCATCGAGCTCGTCGGATCGGGAACCTCTCGTCGACGGTGGGCGTGTTGGTCGCAGGTGGGCTCACTCGGGGAGCTTTGACGATCGCGCCATAGGTCGCGGTGCGGCTTGGTGGGGTCGGAACCGAAGGCGGAGGAGAAATGTCGTCGGCGATAGCGGCCCACTCGGTAATCTCGTCGATGGACGGGACCTTCAGTCCGAATCGCCCAATTGTCACCAGCGAGTTGTCGTGGTATTCACGTAACATTCCCGCCCGCACTTCCCGCTTGGAGGAGTCACTGAGCGATTGGTAGAAGGTCGTGGCGAGCTGAAGCGGCGACAGGGTGAAACTATCGTTGTCGTGCACGAAGGCACGGTACCGCGCCCGCCACTCCCCGACATGGTCGTAAGCCCGAGACGACGACTGGCGACATCCGTGGAAGTCTTGAGCCACTCTATCGGCGAACCCGGGGTCGGGCCAACGACGTCCCACTGCCTTCATGAGCGACGTCCAACAATGAGGGCGCCCTTCTCCAAGCGCGTCCCTCATCGCCTCGACGGCCCAATCGAGCGGGGATTGGCGGCGCTGTCGGGTTGTCGTACGAAAAAATAGCGTCGCCACAAGCTGGATCACTCGGCTCGTGTCGAAAAGGTCGGAGGTGGAGATGTCGCACAAGAGAGAAAGATACGACTCCCCAAACGCAGTGAAAATCACCAACCTTTCCGGATGATCTCCGGTCCATAACCCTTCCCGGTCCGGCAATGTCCCTCTCCAACGAGAGCTAATCACCGCCGAGGAAGGGCCGTCCCTAATTCCGCTGTGAGATTCCCCCCCAGGGGTACGAGCAAGGGGGTCAGCGGCAGCTCCCGGGCGTCCCAAAAATGTGTGCGGGGGGACGTCCAGGGGGACCGGTCTCACCGGCAGAGCCTCCCCGACCTGCGCCCCAGCAGGTGCGGTGGATTCTCTCATCAATCGTTCCACCATCTGCTCCAATTTGCGGATGCGTGTCTCCGAGTCGCGGCGCAGGGCTTCCGATTCTGCGAGGCGGGATTCAAGGGACGTGATGACGGCGGCGGCCTGGAGCGGGTGCGGCGAATGCGTCGGCGGGGACTTAGGCGGATTCGCGCGCGAGGGGTCTTCGCGGACGGGGGCGGTGGTGTCTCGCGACGTGTCGGTGGGTTCGGCCATGGCGAGTTCGCGGCGTAGCGGTTGGCGGTTGTGGGGAGAACGGATGCGAGCTCGAGAAGGATGGAAGAAGGGGTACGAAGGGATGACGCGTTCGTCGTCGGACTCAGTGAATGAGGTGGCGAATGACCACGACGCGTCAGCGGGGGATGAGTTCGGCAACGGGGAGGAAGCTGACGACTCAGGGGTAGTGGACGATTGCTCGTCCAGGATGCAGGATAGAGCAAGGGCAAGCGAGATCGAAGGTTGGCGGTGCCGGACTTGAAAAAAGTGGCAGGCAACGTCCTCTTCAGAAGACGTTGACTACACGCGGAGGAGGGGATCAGGCCGAAGGAAGGTCGACTGGGCGGGGGCAGGCGACCGAGGGACAACCGAGGAGGGGACGCGGTTGTGAGGCTCGCAGCAAGTCAAGTATATCGGACTTTATTGCCAACGAGATCGAAAACGAAGGATGAAGGTGAAGGGATCTTGGGAGATGTAGCGGACCAGGCTGAGTGGGAAGGTGCTAAAAACAAAAGGGAGGCACTCAGGCGCAGAGGGGACTTAGCCAATTCAGCTACTCCAAGAGGTCGCCTCAGGGGGAAAAAGGATTGCTCGCGGGAGCACCGGTAAAAACCCTGAGGCCGCGCCTCAGCTAACAAAAAGAACAAAAACCGAGAGAAGATTGCGCTCTGCGCGCCTTGAACCCGCGACCATTAAGTGCGCGCCCGCGCGCCGAACGACTACGCCATCACGCCCACAATGCTTGAATGGAGGGAAGCATTTGGTGACCTCAACTCTACCTGCACATTACCTCAGGGACTTCCTTCGAGTGTTGCTGTCAGTGTATCGCTGTTTGCCTGACACGTCCTGTCGTTCCCCACTCCGTCCTTGACCGGGAAGCGCTACCTTGTCACGTTTCTAGACGACCACTCTCGCAAACTCTGGGCATATGCGATCGATCACAAAAGCGATGTTTTCCCGACCTTCCAGACTTGGCTCGCCGAAGTGGAGTTAGAGACGAACGCGCGGTTGAGGATCCTTCGAACCGACAATGGCGGGGAGTACCGATCAAACGCATTCACGGAGTTCTGCAAATCCAAGGGCATTCGTCGTCAATACTCTATCCCTTACACGCCTCAACAAAACGGTCGCGCCGAACGTGTCAACCTCTCCATCGTCGAGGGCGTCCTCGCTCTCCTTGCGGACGCCCGTCTGCCGGCCACCTTTTGGGATGAAGCGGCTGCGTATTTCGTTTATTGCAAAAACAGGTGCTCACACTCAGCTTTGGCCAAACAGACTCCAGAATCCGTTTGGAACGGCCAACGCACCACCGCCACCGCCCTCCACCCGTTCGGCTGCACAGCCTGGCTCACGGTCGCCCCGGACCTTCGCAGCAAGCTCGACCCCAAGGCCGCGCGCGTGATCTTCACAGGTTACGACCTCGCCTCCAAAGCTTTCCGTTTCTTTGACCATTCCATCAACAAGATTGTACTTGGTCGCAATGCCACCTTCCTCGACGACGACTTCCCCGGCCTGCCAGTCACCACGCCCGTCGATGCAGACGACACCGACCGTCAGTTCGTCGTTCCCGCCGACACGCCCGCCCCTGCCGTCAAGACGAGGACCCCACTAGTAAGGTCGGCGCACATGGACGTCTCATCCTCCCTTGATGATTCTGCCATGAGCGCCGTTGACGTGGCCCCAGGGTACACTGGCGGAACCTTACTTAATTCCACAGATACCGAATCGTCCTCGTCACTGTCTCCTGAGCCGTCCTCGTCACCGTCGCCCACAAACCCTTTGTCACCGTCGCCTGCGCTGTCACCGTCGTTGGCAGCGTCATCGTCACCCTCGGTCTCACCGACCGACTCTGACTACTCCGCCGACCCTCTGGACCTCATCGGCTCACAGACCCCGACTCGCCTTGGCCCACCGGACGTGCACCGCCCAGACTTCAGCACGTACCGTGAGCCCGCATCGGCTGAGGAGTCGCCCGACGAACTCGACATCATTGGGCGTCACTCGCGCGATGAATCGCCGGATGAAATCGATTTCCTCACCCAACACCACCGCGCCTTCATCGCCACAGACGACGACGACCCCACCCTCGACGCCATCGAGCCCGTCAAATCGATCACTAGCGACCCCCAGACCTGGCGCGAAGCAATGTCCAGCGACGAGCACAACATCTGGGCTGAGGCCGCCGCCGCCGAGTTCACCGCCATGCGCGACGACTTCAAGGTGTTCACCATCGAGCCTCGCTCATCTGTACCGCCGGGCGCCACCATCGTCACCTCCAAATTCGTCTGGAAGACCAAGCGCAACGCAAGCGGTGAAGTCACGGGGCGGAAGGCACGTCTTGTAGCGCAGGGTAACCGACAGCGCGACGGCATCGACTTCTCAGAAACCTTCGCACCCGTCGCCCGTTTCTCCTCCATTCGCTGCCTCCTGGCTCTTGCCGCTGCCAATGGCTACCACGTTCATCAGGCCGACATCGACAAGGCTTACCTCCACGGCGAGCTCGATCATGATATCTGGATGACGACACCACGCGGTTTCGACTTCCCGAGCGATAAGGTTCTCCGGCTGCGACGCTCAATCTACGGTCTCAAGCAGGCCGGTCGCATCTGGAATCGTCACATTGACACATCACTCAGGAATCTGGGGTACAAGGCAACAGGCACTGATCACTGCATTTACTCTCGCATTGACGATCAGCAGCGGCCTCACTATATCGCCTTGTATGTCGACGACCTCCTCATTGTCAGTCCAGCCCTCGACGAGATCGAACGTGTCATCTCCGGCCTTGAACAGCGGTACGGCGTCAAACGACTCGGCCCCGCGGAGTACATCCTCGGAATCCAAATACGCCGCCTGGACGACGGTTCCATTGCTCTATCCCAGGAGCGCTACATCATGGACGTGCTGGCCCGTTTCCACTTCGACACCACGACACGCGGCACTACGGTGCCGATGACGCCCGGCCTCTCGCTCACGGCAATTCCGGGTCAGGGAACGGAGCGCATTCGTTCGTGGTACCTACAGGCCATCGGCTCCCTCCTCTACATCTCCCTTGGCACTCGACCCGACATTGCCTTCGCCGTCTCGTACCTGTCCCGGTTCGCCAACAACCCCGGCCGCCGCCATTGGATTGCCGTCAAACACGTCCTTCGCTACCTTCGCGCCACGTACCGCGATGAGCTTCTCTATGCCCGCGGCCCAGCAAAAGTCACGGGTGTGGTTGGTTATTCTGATGCGAACTGGGGCGCCTGCGTCGACACATCCATTTCAACGATGGGCTACGTATTTTACTTGGCAGGCGCCGCTGTCTCTTGGTCGTCGAAGCGTCAGACTCGGGTAGCGGATTCCACCACTGATGCCGAGTACCTGGCCTTGTCGCACGCGGGTAAGGAAGCGATCTACCTTAACCAACTCCTCTCCGAGCTCCACGTTTGCCCAATCGCTGCAGCTCACATCTTCACCGACAACGAGGCCGCGGCCGCCGTCGCTCACGACCCCGTTCGCACCTCCGGCACCCGGCACATTCGCCTCCGCGAGCATTTTGTCCGTGACATGGTCAATCGAGGTGATATCTCTCTCTCACACGTTGGCACAGCAGACATGGTTGCGGACGTATTCACCAAAGCGCTAGGCCCCAAGATTTTTGGTACACATTGCTATGCTCTAGGCCTCCGGACGCGACATCCACGGCTCAAGTCTACCTCGCGTTCGCGTGGGGGGGGTGTGAGGAATCCACTCTCCGCTCGGCTCAGGACTTAGGTATGAGACGTTCACCACTACTGTCAGGAGAGGTTGAGAGTCGAACAGAAGTGATCTATTTCAGCGTACCTATGAGACGTTCACCACTACTGTCAGGAGAGGTTGAGAGTCGAACAGAAGTGATGAGAAGGAAGCTAAGAAACAGAAAGGGGGGGGCCACGCTGGGATAGTCCCAGGCGCGTGACAATGTACATCCCTAAGTCAGCCGCGGGTGAAATCGCCGGCGCGCCTAAGTCCCCACCGCAAGGGGGCGGGCTAGCGGGCGCGCGCATGAATCCGCCGGCGCTGGCGCGCTGAGGCAGTCGCGCGCGTCTAAGTCCCCACCGCCGGGGGCGGGCTAGCAAGTGCGCGCAACGACCGAGGCGCCCCTGTCGAGCTGAGAGTGGACTCTTCACACCCCCCCCCACGCGAATGCGAGGCAGACCCAAGCCGCGGGTGTCGAGTGCGAAGGCCGAGGGCGTAGCAGTGCGTTGAGAAGACCTTTGGGCCGAGAGCCTTGGTGAAGATGTCGGCCACCATGTCGCTGGTACCCACATGCGAGAGAGAGATGTCGCCCCGATTCACCATGTCCCGAACGAAGTGCTCACGCAAGCGTATGTGCCGAGTGCCAGAGACGCGGACAGGATCGTGAGCAACTGCAGCAGCGGCTTCGTTGTCAGTAAAGATGTGAGCCGGTGCAACAGGTTGTACATGGAGCTCTTCGAGCAGCTGACTGAGGTAAATCCCTTCCTTGCCAGCATGCGAGAGGGCGAGGTATTCAGCGTCGGTGGTCGAATCGGCAACTCGAGACTGGCGTTTGGACGACCAGGACACGGCCGAGCCAGCGATGTAGAAGACGTAGCCCATGGTGGACACCGATGTGTCGATGCAGGCCCCCCAGTTCGCGTCGGAGTAGCCTACCACACCCGTGATGCGAGCCTGGCCGCGAGCATACACGAGTTCGTTGCGATACGTGGCCCGGAGATAGCGTAGGATGTGCTTGACCGCAATCCAATGACGACGACCGGGGTTGTTGGCGAAGCGGGCCAGGTAGGACACGGCGAAGGCGATGTCAGGGCGGGTACCGAGCGAAATGTAGAGGAGCGAGCCGATAGCCTGCAGATACCATGACCTGATCCGTTCGGTGCCTTGACCCGGGATAGCAGTGAGCGAAAGGCCGGGAGTCATCGGAACTGTAGTGCCGCGAGTCGTGGTGTCGAAGTGGAACCGAGCGAGCACGTCCATGATGTACCGTTCCTGGGATAGGGCGATAGAGCCGTCGTCGAACCGCCTGATCTGGATGCCGAGGATATACTCGGCCGGGCCGAGGCGCTTGACTCCGTAGCGTTGGTCCAGGCCTGAGATGACACGTTCGATTTCGGCCAGTTCCGGGCTGATCATCAGGAGGTCGTCGACGTACAGTGCGATGTAGTGTGGACATTGACGATCATCGAGCCAAGAGTATACGCAGTGGTCGGTGCCCGTCGCCGTGTAACCGAGGGCCCGAAGCGAAGCGTCGATGTGTCGATTCCAGATTCGGCCAGCCTGTTTGAGCCCGTAGATGGAGCGTCGCAGGCGAAGCACCTTGTCGCTGGGAAGGTCGAAGCCGCGCGGTGCCGTCATCCAGATGTCGTGGTCAAGGTCGCCATGCAGATATGCTTTGTCGATGTCCGCCTGGTGCACGTGCAAGCCGTTGGCGGCCGCCAGCGCGAGGAGTGAGCGTATCGAGGAGAAGCGTGCGACCGGTGCGAACGTTTCGTTGAAGTCGATGCCGTCGCGTTGCCGATTGCCTTGCGCGACCAGCCTTGCCTTGTGTCCAGTGACTTCGCCGAGTGCGTTCCGTTTCGTTTTCCAGACGAACTTGGATGTAACGATAGTCGCACCCGCGGGCACCGTGGCTCGGTCCTCGATGGTGAAGACCTTGAAGTCGTCGCGCATGGAGGTGAACTCGTCGGTGGCGGCTTTGGCCCATACTTCACGCTTGTCGCTAGACATCGCCTCGCGCCAGGTCTGTGGGTCGCTCGTGATGGACTTGACTGGCTGAATTGCCTCTGTGTCAGAGGTGTCGTCGTCGATGGCGATGAAGGCGCGGTGGTGTCGGGTGAGGAAATCGATTTCGTCCGGAGATTCGTCGCGAGAGTGGCGCCCAATGAGGTCGAGTTCGTCGGGCGACTCCTCAGCCGATGCGGGCTCGCGGTACGTGCTGAAGTCTGGGTGGTGCACGTCCTGTAGATCGAGGCGAACCTGGGGCTGTGAGCCGAGGAGGTCGAGGGGATCGGCGGAGTCTTCAGAGTCGGTCGGTAAGGCCGAGGGTGACGATGACGCAGCCGACGATGGTGAAAGTGCAGGCGATGGCGCAGACGACGGTGATGAGGGCGACGCAGGCGACGGTGACGAGGACGATTCGGCATCTGTGAAGTTAAGTAAGGTTCCGCCAGTGTACCCTGGGGCCACGTCAACGGCGCTCATGGCAGAATCATCAAGGGGGGATGAGACGTCCATGTGCGCCGACCTTACTAGTGGGGTCCATGTCTTGACAACGGTTTGAGATTCGGTGGTGGGAGCGCTGGCGAAGTGCGTGTCGCCGTCTTGCTCAGTGGGGTCGCCATGTAATCCGGGGAATTCAGTGTCGAGGAACGTGGCATTTCTGCCAAGTATAATCTTCTGTGTTGTAGTGTCGTAGAAGCGAAAGGCTTTTGAAGCCAGGTCGTAGCCGGTGAAAAAAACGCGAACCGCCTTCGGGTCGAGTTTGGAGCGAAGTTCGGGCGCGACCGTAAGCCAAGCTGTACAGCCGAACGGGTGAAGCGCCGAGGCAGTGGTGTGGTCACCCTGCCAGACGGAGTTTGGTGTTGCCTTGTCCAGGGCCGCGTGTTGACACAGGTTCTTGCAGTAAACGAAATAAGCTGCAGCCTCCTCCCAGAATGTCTTGGGTAGGTGGGCGTCGACAAGGAGGGCAAGGACGCCTTCGACAATGGAACGATTGACCCGCTCTGCACGACCGTTCTGTTGAGGCGTGCGTGGGATAGAGTATTGTCGACGGGTGCCTCGTGTCTTGCAGAACTCTGTGAACGCTCTCGAACAGTATTCGCCACCGTTGTCGGTTCGGAGGACCTTCAGCGTCGCACCCGTCTCGAGTTCAACCTCGGCTAGCCAAGTTTTGAATATGCCGAAGACTTCGCTTTTGTGTCCGATTGCGTAGGCCCAGAGTTTGCGCGAGTAATCGTCAAGGAATGTGACCAGGTAACGTTTGCCAGTCAAGGACCGCTCGGGGAAGGAAAGCACATCGCTGTGTACAAGGCCGAGTCTCTCTGAGGAGTGCGAATCCGAATCGGGAAAGGGAAGACGATGGCCCTTTGCGCTGAGGCAAGCATTGCAGACAAACTTCTCTACCTCTTCGTCACTATATCCGGCCCTGAGACCCTCCAGCAAACCAGCGGCAACCATCTTCTGTATGGAGGACGGTGCGAGATGGCCGAGGCAGCGATGGAGAGTCAGCAGGGGCACGGACGACTGTGAGCGAGAAAGGAGAGCAAGGTGCTGACATTTGGAATGATCAGCGTCCAGCAAGTAGAGCCCTTCGTCGAGTCGTGCGCCTTCAGCGATGTCGTTGCCGTCCTTGTCAATGTGGATGCCGTGTTTTGTGAAGGCGACACGGACATCGTCGGTGTCGCAAAGTCGAGAGACCGAGAGAAGATTGACAAACAGGCCCGGAGTGTGCAGCACGCCGGTAAGCGTGATCGGATGACCCGAGGCGGCAATGAAGGCGATGTTTCCCGTTCCGATGGCGTTGATGCCCCCTGCAATACCACCAATCTTCGTAGGAGCGATATGGCGATAGGTCGTGAACAGCGACTTGTCCGAGACCATGTGCGAAGTGGCGCCCGAGTCGACGACAAAAGAGTGGTTGCGAAGCTGGCGACGACGAGCGAGAAGACCGGTGGCGAGACATCCGACATGGTGTTGCGAGTCGACGGTCGAGTCAGCGGTGTCGGGCTTTTTGCCGTCCTCGAGCGCCTTCTTGCAGTCGAGAGACCAGTGATCCTTCTTCTTGCAGGAGCGACAGGGTCCTGGCGGCGGGTGTTGCGCCCTCGTAGGGCACTCCGCGACTCGGTGCGAAGGGCTGCGACAGGCGAGACACTTGAGACGAGTAGAACGTGACGACGACGAGGCAAGAAGGGCCGATTGAGTGCTGGGGATGTTCGTTGACCGAAGTTGGACTCGCATACGGTCGGCAAGCGAATCAATGTCGGGGAGAGTTCGTTGCGTGCGCTGTTCATCGGTGAACGACGCCTTGAAGCTCTCGAGGGACGGGTGGGCGATTGCAAGGAGGAGTGTGGCGAGAACATCATTGATAGTTGTCTTTGTGTCGATGATCTCTTGCGCAACGGCTTTGAAGTCCATGATCCACCCGTCGAATTCGGCAACCGTGCCGGGCATGGGACGGAAACCCCAGAGTCGTGAGAAGAGCTCGAGCGTGCGGGTGGCGTCGTCAGGGGCGTACCGCGATTTCAGCGTCGAGTAGATTGTCGGCGCTGTCAGGTCGGCGGTAGGGATTTTGTCGAGGACTGCCGAGACTTCGGCCGAGTCAATCGAATTCGCAAGGACCTCACGAGCGACGGCGTCGCGAGCGGAGCGTTGCGAAGGTGTCCAGTCGTCGGGTGCGATACCGTCGAGGACGTACGAGCGGATGTCGTCCGCTAGGCACAGGCGAAGTTGGCGTGTCCAGTTCGCGAAGGTCTTCGCACCATCCAAGCGTGCGTGCTTTGGAAAGGCAGTGCGAGTGGTGCCGGACGTCGTGGCGGGTGTGGCAGTGCCGGAAGCGGCAGCGGTGAGACCCGACAGCAGCGATGTAAGTGCGGCGAGCTGTTCGGCGGGAATCGGAGGGTTGGCACCCGTCGCGAGGGGTGGTGTCGTGGTCATGCCAGCTGGTGGCTCGTGGGCTTATAACCTATGAGACGTTCACCACTACTGTCAGGAGAGGTTGAGAGTCGAACAGAAGTGATCTATTTCAGCGTACCTATGAGACGTTCACCACTACTGTCAGGAGAGGTTGAGAGTCGAACAGAAGTGATGAGAAGGAAGCTAAGAAACAGAAAGGGGGGGGCCACGCTGGGATAGTCCCAGGCGCGTGACAATGTACATCCCTAAGTCAGCCGCGGGTGAAATCGCCGGCGCGCCTAAGTCCCCACCGCAAGGGGGCGGGCTAGCGGGCGCGCGCATGAATCCGCCGGCGCTGGCGCGCTGAGGCAGTCGCGCGCGTCTAAGTCCCCACCGCCGGGGGCGGGCTAGCAAGTGCGCGCAACGACCGAGGCGCCCCTGTCGAGCTGAGAGTGGACTCTTCACATTAGGCGCGCGGAGCGAACCGGGCGCGGACTTAGGCGCGCGGAGTGAGCCGGGCGCCCCGGCCCAGGACTTAGGCGCGCGAAGCGAGCCTGGGACTTAGGCGCGCGGAGCGAGCCTGGGCCATTGGCTCAGCCCCAGGCTCGCTGGCTGTGGACTTGGGGCGCGCGGGTCTCTTATTGTTAGCTTCCTATTCATCACTCTTGGCTATAACTACATCGCTGACGTAGTAGAGTTGATCGAATAGGTATGTTGAAATGCATTGATCACTCTTGGCTATAACTACATCGCTGACGTAGTAGAGTTGATCGAATACCTGTTGATTGCGCCTTCGGGCCCTGGGGTCACGGTTACGACGCAGGCTCTCCCGGTTCCCCTCATCTGGCCGAGAACATTATGGACGCCGTCGATTGGTCTATCGGCCGCCTCTCTCCTCCCATCGCTGTCAATCGAGTTCACGCTATTGCTACGGCCCCTGCCAACGACCCGCCCATTCCGGTCCATGCCGACGCCGACGAACTCGATTTGTTGGGAGTTGCCACCGATGATGTCAACGACACCCCTGTAGTCCATCGGCCGCCTGATCCACTGCCCCAACCCTTCCTCGACACCGTCATCCGAGCATACGCCAACGATTCGCAAGCCCAGGTCATCATTATGAGATGATCACCACTACTGTCAGGAGAAGTCGAGAGTCGAACAGAAGTGATCTATTTCAGCGTACCTATGAGATGATCACCACTACTGTCAGGAGAAGTCGAGAGTCGAACAGAAGTGATGAGAAGGAAGCTAAGAAATGGAAAGGGGGGCCCGCGCTGGGATATGCCCAGGCGCGGGCGAAATCGCTGGAGCGCTGAGGCAGTCGCGCGCGGCTAAGTCCCCACTGCAAGGGCGGGCTAGCGGCGCGCGCCCGAAAACCGCCGGCGCCGGCGCGCTGAGGCACTCGCGCGCGCCTAAGTCCCCACCACAGGGGCCAGGCTAGCAGGCGCGCGCAACGACCGAGGCGCCCCTGTCGAGCTGAGAGTGGACTCTTCACACCCCCCCCCACGCGAATGCGAGGCAGATCCAAGCCGTGGGTGTCGAGTGCGAAGGCCTAGTGCGTAGCAGTGTGTCGAGAAAATCTTTGGGCCAAGAGCCTTTGTGAAGATGTCGGCCACCATGTTGCTGGTTCCCACATGCGAGAGTGAGATATCGCCCCGATTCACCATGTCCCGAACAAAGTGCTCGCGCAAGCGTATGTGTCGAGTGCCGGAGACGCGGACAGGGTCGTGGGCAACTGCGGCAGCGGCTTCATTGTCAGTAAAAATGTGAGCCGGTGCAACAGGTTGGACATGGAGCTCCTCGAGCAGCTGACTGAGGTAGATCCCTTCCTTGCCAGCATGCGAGAGGGCGAGGTATTCAGCGTCGGTGGTAGAATCGGCAACTCGAGATTGACGCTTGGACGACCAAGACACGGCGGATCCGGCAATGTAGAAGACGTAGCCCATAGTGGACACCGACGTATCGACGCAGGCCCCCCAGTTCGCGTCGGAGTAGCCAACCACGCCCGTGATGCGTGTCTCGCCGCAAGCATAAACCAGTTCGTCGCGATATGTGGCCCGGAGATAGCGGAGGATGTGCTTGACCGCGATCCAGTGACGACGTCCAGGGTTGTTGGCGAAGCGGGCCAGGTAGGACACGGCGAAGGCGATGTCGGGGCGGGTGCCGAGCGAAATGTAGAGGAGCGAGCCGATAGCCTGCAGATACCATGACCTGATCCGTTCGGTGCCTTGACCCGGGATGGCGGTGAGCGAAAGGCCGGGGGTCATCGGGACTGTAGTGCCGCGAGTCGTGGTGTCGAAGTGGAACCGAGCAAGCACGTCCATGATGTACCGTTCCTGGGACAGGGCAATAGAACCGTCTTCGAGTCGCCTGATCTGGATGCCGAGGATGTACTCTGCCGGGCCGAGGCGCTTGACGCCGTAGCGTTGTTCGAGGCCCGAGATGACACGTTCAATTTCGGCCAAGTCGGGGCTGATCATCAGGAGGTCGTCGACGTACAGCGCGATGTAGTGTGGGCGTCGCCGATCGTCGATCCGAGAGTACACGCAGTGGTCGGTGCCCGTCGCCGTATAGCCGAGATCTCGAAGCGATGCGTCGATGTGTCGATTCCAGATTCGGCCAGCCTGTTTGAGTCCGTAGATGGAGCGTCGCAGACGAAGCACCTTGTCGGTGGGAAGGTCGAAGCCGCGCGGTGTCGTCATCCAGATGTCATGGTCAAGGTCGCCATGCAGATAGGCTTTGTCGATGTCCGCCTGGTGCACGTGCAAGCCGTTGGCGGCCGCCAGCGCGAGGAGTGAGCGTATCGAGGAGAAGCGTGCGACTGGTGCGAAGGTTTCGTTGAAGTCGATGCCGTCGCGTTGCCGATTTCCCTGCGCCACGAGCCGTGCCTTGTGGCCGGTGACTTCGCCGAGTGCATTCCGTTTCGTTTTCCAGACGAACTTGGATGTGACGATGGTCGCACCCGCTGGTACCGTGGATCGGTCCTCGATGGTGAAGACCTTGAAGTCGTCGCGCATGGAATTGAACTCGTCGGTAGCGGCCTTGGCCCACACTTCGCGCTTGTCACTCGACATTGCCTCGCGCCATGTCTGTGGGTCGCTGGTGATGGACTTGACTGGTTGAATGGCTTCTGTGTCAGAGTTGTCGTCGTCGGTGGCGATGAAGGCGCGGTGGTGTTGGGTGAGGAAATCGATTTCGTCCGGCGATTCATCGCGCGAGTGGCGCCCAATGATGTCGAGTTCGTCGGGCGACTCCTCAGCCGATGCGGGCTCACGGTACGTGCTGAAGTCTGGGCGGTGCACGTCCGGTGGGCCGAGGCGAGTCGGGGTCTGTGAGCCGATGAGGTCCAGAGGGTCGGCGGAGTAGTCAGAGTCGGTCGGTAAGGCCGAGGGTGACGATGACGCAGCCAACGACGGTGACAGCGCAGGCGACGGTGACAAGGGGGTTGCGGGCGACGGTGACGAGGACGGCTCAGGAGACGGTGACGAGGACGATTCGGCATCTGTGGAATTAAGTAAGGTTCCGCCAGTGTACCCTGGGGCCACGTCAACGGCGCTCATGGCAGAGTCATCAAGAGAGGATGAGACGTCCATGTGCGCCGACCTTACTAGTGGGGTCCATGTCTTGACAACGGCTTGGGATTCGGTGGTCGGGCAAGCGCTGGCGAAGTGCGTGTCGGCGTCTTGCTCGGTGGAGTCGCTACGTAACCCGGGAAATTCGTTGTCGAGGAACCTGGCATTTCTGCCCAAACTGATCTTCTTGGTCGTCGTGTCGTAGAAACGGAAGGCTTTAGAAGCCAGGTCATAGCCGGTGAAGAGAACGCGAACCGCTTTCGGGTCGAGTTTCGAGCGAAGTTCAGGCGCGACTGTGAGCCAAGCCGTGCAGCCGAACGGGTGAAGCGCCGAGGCGTTGGTGCGGTCGCCCTGCCAGGCGAAGTTCGGTGTTGCCTTGTCCAGGGCCGAGTGTTCGCACAGGTTCTTGCAGTAGACGAAATAAGCTGCTGCCTCCTCCCAGAATGATTTGGGTAAGTGGGCGTCTGCAAGGAGGGCAAGGACACCTTCGACGATAGAACGATTGACTCGTTCGGCACGACCGTTCTGTTGAGGCGTTCGAGGGATAGAGTATTGTCGACGTGTGCCGCGTGCCTTACAGAATTCCGTGAACGCTCTCGAACAGTATTCGCCACCATTGTCGGTTCGGAGGACCTTCAGTTTTGCACCCGTCTCGAGTTCGACCTCGGCAAGCCATGTCTTGAACACGCCAAAGACTTCGCTTTTGTGTCCGATCGCGTATGCCCACAGTTTGCGCGAGAAGTCGTCAAGAAACGTGACCAGGTAACGCTTGCCAGTCAAGGACGACTCGGGAAAGGAAAGCACATCGCTGTGTACGAGGCCGAGTCTCTCTGAGGAGTGCGAGTCCGAATCGGGAAAAGGAAGACGATGGCCCTTTGCACTGAGGCAAGCATTGCAGACAAACTTCTCTACCTCTTCGTCACTATATCCGGCCCCGAGACCTTCCAGCAAACCAGCGGCAACCATCTTCTGTATGGACGACGGTGCGAGATGGCCGAGGCAGCGGTGAAGGGTCAGCAGGGGCACGGAAGACTGTGAGCGAGAGAGGAGAGCGAGATGCTGACATTTGGAATGATCAGCGTCCAGCAAGTAGAGCCCTTCCTCGAGTCTTGCGCCTTCAGCGATAGCATTGCCGTTCTTGTCGATATGGATGCCGTGCTTCGTGAAGGCGACACGGACATCGTCGGTGTCGCAAAGTCGAGAGACCGAGAGGAGGTTGACAGACAGGCCCGGGGTGTGCAGCACGCCGGTAAGCGTGATCGGGTGACCGGAGGCGGCAACAAAGGCGATGTTTCCCGTTCCGACGGCGTTGATGCCCCCTGCAATACCACCAATCTTCGTAGGAGCGATGTGGCGATAGGCCGTGAACAGCGACTTGTCCGAGACCATGTGCGAAGTGGCACCCGAGTCGACGACGAAGGAGTTGTTGCGAAGCTGACGACGATGTGCGAGAAGACCGGTGGCGAGACATCCGACATGGTGTTGCGCATCAGAGGTGTCGGGCGTTTTCCCGTCCTCAAGAGTCTTTTTGCAGTCGAAAGACCAGTGGTCCTTCTTCTTGCAGGAGCGACACGGGCCTGGCGGTGGATGCTGGCCCTTGTAGGGCATTGTGCGACGCGGTGAGAAGAGCTGCGACAGGCGAGGCACTTGGTACGGGTAGAACGTGGCGACGACGAGGCAAGGAGGGCCGATTGATCGTTGGAGAGGTTCGTTGACCGGAGTTGAACTCGCATACGGTCGGCCACTGAATCGATGTCAGGGAGAGTTCGTTGCGTGCGTTGTTCGTCGGTGAACGTTGCTTGAAGCTCTCGAGTGACGGGTGGGCGATCGCGAGGAGGAGTGTGGCAAGGACGTCGTTGATCGTCGTTTTCGTATCGATGATCCTTGCGCGACCGACTTGAAGTCCATGATCCAACTGTCAAATTCGCCAACCGTTCCGGGCATGGGTCGGAAGCCCCAGAGTCGCGAGAAGAGCTCGAGCGTGCGAGTGGCTCATCAGGGGCGTATCGCGATTTCAGCGTCGAGTAATCTTGGGCGCTGTGAGGTCGGCCGTAGGGATCTTGTCGAGGACTGCCGAGACTTCGCCGAGTCGATTGAGTTTGCAAGGATCTCGCGTGCCACGACGTCGCGGGCGGAGCGTTGCGAAGGCGTCCAATCGTCGGGGGTGATTCCGTCGAGGACGTAGGAGCGGATGTCGTCCGCTAGGCACAGGCGAAGCTGGCGTGTCCAGTTCGCGAACGTCTTCGGCCCGTCCAACCGCGCATGCTTCGGGAAGGCATTGCGATTGGAGCCGGATGTCGTGGCGGGTGCGGTAGTGCCGGAAGCGGCAGCGGTGAGTCCCGACAGCAGCGATGTAAGTGCGGCAAGCTGTTCGGCGGGAATTGTCGGGGTGGCGCTCGTCGCGAGGGTTGACGACGTGTCCATGCCAGCGGTAGCTCGATGGGCTTATAACCTATGAGATGATCACCACTACTGTCAGGAGAAGTCGAGAGTCGAACAGAAGTGATCTATTTCAGCGTACCTATGAGATGATCACCACTACTGTCAGGAGAAGTCGAGAGTCGAACAGAAGTGATGAGAAGGAAGCTAAGAAATGGAAAGGGGGCCCGCGCTGGGATATGCCCAGGCGCGGGCGAAATCGCTGGAGCGCTGAGGCAGTCGCGCGCGGCTAAGTCCCCACTGCAAGGGCGGGCTAGCGGCGCGCGCCCGAAAACCGCCGGCGCCGGCGCGCTGAGGCACTCGCGCGCGCCTAAGTCCCCACCACAGGGGCCAGGCTAGCAGGCGCGCGCAACGACCGAGGCGCCCCTGTCGAGCTGAGAGTGGACTCTTCACAATCATTACCGACCCGCTATCATGGCCTATGTTTCGGGTGACCGAGGAAGGGAGGATTTTGCGTGTACATCCAGATGAGTCTATTTCCTTGTTTGTGCCTCGTGGTCTCGCTACTGGCGTCGTCAACTCCGACAAGGTCCCATCGCTGCGCGAGCTCGTGCTTTCGGAGATTCATCGGAGTGTCGGGCATGCAGGACATCGCATCACCTTGGCCGCCATCCGTCCTTTGTACTGGTGGTCGTCCATGTCTGCCGATTGTGCCGAGTTCTGCCGTTCATGTGAAGACTGTACCCGAGGCAAGGCGTCCACTCAAGTCCCCTATGGCCGACTGCATCCGATGCCGATCCCTTCTGGTCCTTGGGAACAAGTGGCCATCGACTTCATGACAGGACTGCCTCCGGTCGAGCTCGAAGGGATGATGGTTGCTCAAATCATGGTGGTCACTGACACTTGGGGCAAGATGGTCCACCTGATTCCCCTCCCAGCCGACGCCGACTCGGAGCTCGTTGCCGAGAAGTACTACGCCACCGTCTTCCGACTGCATGGGATGCCTTCCGCCATCGTTTCCGACCGTGATCCCAAGTTCACCTCGCAGTTTTGGCGGGCATTGCAGGCAAAGATTGGCACCGTCTTGCGAATGTCAACCGCGGCACACCCGGAGACGGACGGATCGAGCGAGAATCGGATCAAGATGGTCACCCAAACCCTGCGGATCATGGTCTCGTCAAACCACGAGGCTTGGGCATCTCGTCTTGTTGAAGCTGAGTTCGCTCTTAACTCTTCTGTTGCTGTGTCCACGTCGCTGTCGGCTTTTGAGGCAACCTACGGCTACCTTCCTCGATGCTGGCCCTCGGATTCCTGGTCTGTCTCGGACGTCCCTCGTGCGGAAGCGTTTGCTCGGATCCGACAATTACGGAACCTCGACGTGACGGATGCGATCATTGGAGCACGCCTCAACCAGTCCCATCAGGCCAACAAGCATCGACGCCCAGACGACCCCGCCTTTCGGACCGGCAGTTACGTCTATCTTTCGACAAAGAACCTGGCAGTTCCTGACGGCATGAAGTCGAAGTTGTTGCCGCGCTACATCGGCCCCTTCCGTATCCGAGCGGCCATCCCTGCGACGTCCAGCTACGACCTCGAGCTCCCTCCAGCGATGTCGCGAGTGCACAATCGTTTCCATGCTCGACTGCTTCGGCCTTGCGTTGAGAATGATGCTGAAAGGTTTCCTGGGCGTGACCCCGCAGTTCTTTTTGTCGAAGACGTAGCCGACGCGGCCGACAATTCTGCGATTCCGGAACGGATTGTTCGCGATCGGCGGAACGCTCGGGGCGCTCGTTCGTTCTTGGTTCGATGGGTAGGCCGTAACGACACCGACGATACTTGGATGTCAGAGCAGTCCATTCGCCTTGACCATCCGTCCGTCCTCGACGCCTACCTCGCGCGCCTCGATCGCTCGAACCGCCGCCTCGCCGCACGGTAGACTTCCTTCTGGGGGGACAATGTCAGGATGACAGCGTGTACTCGAAGGAAGCCCCCCAAGGCTATGTGCGGGTAGAGTTGACTTGACCAGAGGCTTGCCTCGTTTCACAGCATCGTCGGTGCGATGGCGTAGTTGTGAGGCGCGCGGGCGCGCACTCGGTGGTCGCGGGTTCGAGGCGCCCAGACCGCAGTCTTCTTTCGGTTTGTTTTATCTTTTTGTTAACCGAGGCGCGGCTTCAGGGTTTTTACCGGTGCTCCCGCGAGCAATCCTTTTTACCCCTGAGGCGACCTCTTGGAGTGGTTGATTTGGCTAAGTCCCCTCTGGGCCTGGCACAGTCCCTTCCCTTTAGTTTTACCACCTTTCCCGGGAGCTTGGTCCGCTCTTCTCTTTTGTTGCCCCTCCTCTTCTTGTCGATCGTTTGGGAATTAAGTCCGTTACACTTGATTTCCTGCGAGCCTTTCGACCGACTCCCCTCCTCGGTTGCTCCCTTGTCGACTGCCGCCGCAACAGCCGACACTTCCAGAAATCCCCCCCCCCCCGTACCAACGCGTGTAGACGACGTCATCCCCTCCGACGTCGCTTGTCAAGGCCGATGGAAGGTCGAGTCGGCTGGGCGGCGGCAGTCGACCGAGAGCAACCGAGGAGTGGATTCGGTCGGAAGGCTTCGCAGCAAATCAAGTGTAACGGACTTAATTGCCAGCGAAATGGGTAAAAGAGGGAGGGTACGAGTCATGATAATGAGTGGACCAAGCTCTGGGGAAGGGTGGCAAAAGCAAGGGAGGGAAGTGCTCCGAGCGAAGGAAAGACTGAGTCAAATAACTACACCACGAGGTCGCTTCAGGGGTAAAAAGGATTGCCTGCAAGGCACCGGTAAAAACCCCGAAGCCGGGCCTCGGATAACAAAAAGGAAAAGAAACCAAAAGGCTGATCGCACTCGGGCGGATCGAACCCTCGACCACTGAGTGCGCGCCCGTGCGCCCTCACAACTATGAAGGAACAATATACCACTGCAG